CTTAGCACCTTAGTTAATTACAATTAAATCAAAATTTGAGAAACACAACAAACAAAGGAAACTCACAGCGTCAGATGCACTTTTATAACAATAATCGTATGTCTCAAAATAATACACAAGGCTCACCATCAACATTCAAAAGGCATCTAACGAATCATAGTACACTTGGGGATGATGCTAGATACGTAAACAATAAAAGACAACGTCAAAATAGTCAGGACAACATCGACAAAGTCTATGATAATGACGAACGGTTCGACGAATGGACTGATCCGAATATTCACAATTCCATTAGTTTTAATGATAATCAAGATGACAACGATAATAATCAAACGCATATTTCCAACCAGGCTGTCAACTATGCAACCGATTGCCATTTTCCACCGATCAAAATCATATGCACACCTAAAATACAAAATCAAAATGGAGCTTATTTCGTACAAACACTAATAAAACACATTGAAAAGAAATTTAAGAACGAAAACCCCACATGCAAGAAACTATTAGCTTTTGATGCATGGTGGGTAAATGCAGAAGGTGATATGATGGTTCTAACGAAATGTATGGAAATATTCATTCATTTATGTATACTGGTGAATTATCCACAGGAAATTAATAATATAAAAATTGAACCCCCAACTTCCAAAATATTTACCACCACCTTTCTCTGTATTGATTAAATTTGTTTACAATCATATTTCAATAGATGAAATTCGACAAGAAGTAAAAGGTAAATATTTTTCTCAATATTCATGCAATGAATTAATTGAAACTAAAACAAATCGAACAAGACATGTTAGAATTGACTTTACGAAACGAAAAGACTACAACACTATACTCAACAATGGACAAATATCATTTTGTAGTCAACTTTATACAGTGAGTGAATTTCTTGAAGTTCCGAAATTATTGATCTGCTCAAAATGTAACTCTCCTGGACACATGAAAAAGCAATTCCAGAGTAAGTATGATCGTTGTCGTCGTTGTGGAGGGGACAGGACAATCGGCGATCATGTTGAGTGTTCAATAAAATGTCATCATTGCAGTGGTGAACATTTATCTACAGATTATAAATGCCCAATTCTTGCTGATTATCGATTTGAACTTGTTAAAGAACTAAAACGTCATCCTGAACGTCTACCTGAACATGTACAACTATTTATACCAGTACAATGTCGGGATAGGAATGACCGTTCTCATGTTATTACAAATTATCAAAAAAATGAACAAAAAAGTAGAGCAACATATAATTCAGCATTTAACATGAATACTCATTCTTGGCCTCAACTTAACTCTAATTCACGCACAGTTAGCAATGAAACGTTATTTACGCAAAAACTTGACGAGGAAATTAAATCGATACGGGAAGATTTCAAAAAAGAATTAAACAAACTGAACGCAAAATATGAAAATCAAACAAATATTTTTCGAGATCGATGGCATCTAGTTGCTCAACAAATTAAAACACAAAATGAAATGATTAATAACATATCGACTACAACTCTATCATGTATTATGCCAATGGGAATAGATCTACTTAGAACTACATCGGAAGTTTTAAAATCACTTCGCAACAACGAACAAAACGAAGAGACAAAAAACAAACTTAATGATTCTGCTGAACAATTACGATTACATATGAATAAATTTTCCGAACACTTCCATATATTACAACAGTATCAAGAGAAGATTTCTTTATTAATGGATAAACAAACAACATCTTTAATTGGAGCAATTAATACATTATCATATATAAATGAATAGTCAAAGAACAAGATACACCGATCCATATATTGAAAATAGCAACATCGACAAGTTTCAAAGTACTATAAAAGACAAAAAGATTCTTAATGAAATATGTAACGAGTGGAACGATAGAATGTCTGATTTTGATATATGCAAACAGTGGAAAAAAGAGAGACCTACGATAGAATATCAAGCTTTAAACCTACTTCTTTTTAATATCCAATGTCTAAGTACCCATATTGCTGACCTCGATTTTATAGTATCAACATATATTCCTCAAATCTGTATTCTAACAGGTGTCGGTTCAAAAATAAAAAATCCCCCCAATATTCCCTTATATAATTGGATATGCCAAGAAGGTACTAACGCTTTTGGTGGAGTTGCCATTATTATTCACAATTCGCTGAAAACAAAAACAATTGTACAAGCACCAAACTTTATTCTAATTGAATTAACGGTTCTATCCGAATCTATACTAATCAGCGCTACCTATATCCCAACAGGTAGTAGTGTTCCATTTAACTTACTTGAGACGCATGTATCCAAAAACTTCTATATATTCGGTGATTATAATGCTAAACATTCGCAATGGTGGTGTAATACAAATAATTCAAGTGTAAATGACTTGAAATCCTGGCTCGATGAAAAAGGTTATCAACTAATTGCATCTATTAAACCAACATCAAAACGATCAGATGCAGTTATTGATTTTGGGATCACCAATGATGCTACAAGATGGCGATCGGAAGCAATAATAGAAGGAACATCGGATCACTACCCGGTATATTTTGAAGCTCCATTCTCAGTATCTGAAAAGGGATACTTCAAGAAGACAAATTGGAATATTTACCATTTTTTTCTACAAAATATATGCGAATACCTAAACGTTGTTGTCTACAATTTGGATGCTGAGGATTTCTTTTATCTATTTGCTCTATTACTTTCTTCATTATCCGATCGTGTAAGTGAATTTCTACCGGTAACAAAATACAGATCTCCATGCACTGGGGAAAAAAATAGCACCACACGGAACCATTTTTGAAACGAATTCTAAACCTTCAAAAAGGTTTCGTAAAACCCCAAGATAGTCTCAAAATGATTATCAAGAGTCCAGGAAACTTTTTCGAAGGTTTTGTGGAAAACCTACGAAACCTAAAAAGGTTCAGAATTCGTTTCACATCTCGAAACCATTTTTAAGTTCAGTGAGAGAAATCGAAACCTTTTATGAGTTTCGCACTGAAGACGAAACCCTTTTGGTTCCGTGTGGTGCTATTTTTTTTTCAGTGTGGCCACCATACATAGTTACACTGGCAAAGAAACAAAACAAATTACGTAAAAAATATCGAAAAACGAGGGTGTTAAAAGATCTGGAAGAATATATTCATTGGAAAAAGGTATACGCTGACGAAAGATGGTTATATCAACAAAAACAAACAGAAAATCAATTAGCTTGGATTGCTCAAGGAAATAATATCTGGAAATTAGTACATCCTATTTTCCATCTCTATTCGCCCGCATTAAGCGGACTTACTACCAATGAAGGTATAATAAAAGATCCTCAAATGATTGTTGATACTTTAGCGGGCCATTATGAAAAAGATTTCGAAACTCCAACTCATGATTATGGAATTTTGGCACATGTAGAAGCAATAGAAGCATACACAAATATCTCATATCTACCAAATATTCTCCTGGAACAAATCTCAATAGAAGAAGTTCATTCGGCCTTGAAACGTACACAAAATAAAAAATCGACTGATTGTGATGGAATATCGTCTTTTCATCTGAAACAAATACCCGAAGAGTTTATAAAGATAATTACCATTAGGTTTAATAAAATGGCGGAAACAGGCATCTACCTAAAACGTAGTAAACACGCCAAAGTCATTTGCATTTCCAAGAAAGGTATGTATCCTACAGTAAACAAGTTAAGACCAATTTCACTTATATCAAATATTGGTAAATTATTCGAAAAAATTATTCACAAAACGAATTTTGAAATGGTGCAAAGAAAAAGGTATATACATTGGCGAACAGTCTGGTTTCACTCCCGAGAGGAGACTCCAGACAAGAATCCTGACACTGGTTGAAGATCTACGTTTAACGGTCGCAGCCTGCAACCGACCTGCTCTCGTTATTTTCGTGGATTTTATGAGCGCATTCGACAGGATATGGCATCCCATGCTCATCAGAAATCTGATAAGACTCGATTGCCCACTTCCAATAATACGATGGATTTTCTTATGGCTACAAGAACGAACCATGTCAATACATTATGGAAACACTGTGTCTCGCCCTATAAAACTGTACGTTGGAACTCCGCAAGGGTAAGTTCTTGCTGCCACTTTATTTCTTCTTCATATCCACTATCTCCAGCAATACTTTACTAGCATGGCAACTCATCTTTTTGCAGATGATCTTGCAATCACTATTGTGGGATCAATAGAAATGAAATTTTCACATAATATAAATGGGTTTGAAGCGCAAGCCACACGGGCAATGGACATTCTATCACAATACTCATACGATTATATCTTACCTGTAAATATCGATAAAACAAACGCACTCTTGGTGCATAGTGTAGTGGTACCACAATATCCTGTTATTACATATCGAAGCACTAAAATAAAATTTGTAAAAAAGTTCTAATATTTGGGTGTTCAAATCGGAACCAAACTGGGTTGGGGCGACTATATATCACATCGAATAAGACGGATAAGAAACATTTACAATGCATTGCGTATTCTTTTCTATCGAATTCCACTATCACATGTAAAATTGCGCAGGATTCTATTCCTCGCATTCGCGCTGCCGCATTTCTCTTGGCTGTATTCATGTTGATTCTTTTATACCGAAAACCAACAACAATATATCGAACATGTGTATATGTCTGGGTTGAGAATAATCTATAGTCTACATAAATGGGATGATGTCACAGTATATATCGTAAATAAAGAATTAACACTGAGAGACTATCTATATGATTATAGGCAAAAGTTCAATGTACATCTCGATTAAGCATATGAAGCAACACATTTTCAACAAACATTTACAGCATATATAATTTCAAAATCACCCGACAAAGGTTAGTATCTTCCAATGGGCCTAAGGAAAAACAATAAATTCTTGAAAAGACTAAGTGAAAAGCAAAACATACAAAAATTGATCTAGCTGACTTTTTTTCTATACAAAAAGAACAACATGGATTCTTTAAACGTTCATTCACTCTCACCCACATGTTTGCATATAAATATTATATCCTCCCTCCCTAAACATTGTTAAAATGAATTAAGTATTTTTTATATAATCTAACACATTTTTTTCTTTCTTAAACAAGCTACTCCATAGTAATTTCTAATTTTCCTCTACGCCTGGTAAACGTTTCTCTATTCGCTTGTAACACACTCTTCCTTTCGTTCCTTTTTATTTTTATTTCTTTTCATTATTCTTATCTGTTCTAGTCTTTTCTTCTCTGCTCATGGGAACATTTTATTTTATTCTATTTCATCTCATTATTTATGTAGAAGTATAAGAATGTCTTCACTCTTGTCAACCATAGATGGGACGATAAAGCTCGATATTAAAAAAAAAGATACGATGTAGATGGGTGATACAACTTGTATTTGTATCGGCGCAGCTATGGGTGTTGGCATGAGTGTGGGTGTGGGGGGGGGGGGTTTGGTGTGGTTCGGCGTGGGGGTGTGACGGGGTGAGGGTGAATTTTGTTTTTTTCCCCCCCCCACGGCCACAACCGCCCCCGCCCAACCAAACACCCACACACCCAACCACACCCAGGCCCACACCCAGACCCACACGCATACGCACACCCGCACACACAACCACACCCAGACCCATACCCATACCCACACGCATACGCACATTCACATTCACACCCACACCCACACCCGCATCCTGCAGTGCACTTTTATCTGCATATGAAATACATATCTTTATAAAAATGAATGATGCATAAATGATAGAGTTTTTAAGTCATCAGATACACACTATGTATTCCAGCAATCAGCTAGCACATCGCAACTAATATACGGCGTTCGCCACTGAATGCCGCTCGTCCATGAGCAACACGATAGTTATCCAATAAAAGTACGTCACCCCGCTCCCAAGACCATTTCGTTTGATGAGCTTGTAATACATGTCTCACATGTGTTAAGTAGTTATCCGGTATAACTTCTCCGTTGTCAGCAAAAAAACAGTTTTTAGGCATGTTCACAGGTGTGAGTCGTGACTCGAGTGTACGCCGAAGCTCAGGCTGTAAATCGCTCGGATGAAACAGATGAGCATGATTGCACCAAAGCCAGTCGCCCGTCAATGGATGCCTTTTGACAGCCTCCATTGAACGTATTGTGCGAAGGCTCCCATCAGGCTGCCAAGAAAATTCGATATGTCTGCTGCAAAGAAACTCTTCCACCTCCTTTCTTGATTCTGTTCGGTAGGTGTCTTGCCACGATTTTCCTAAGCCTTGACCGAGATTGGGCATATTATGCACGTACAGAATTTTTCGGTTGGCAAAAGCATTACGTATTTTTCGATCAATAGATCGGTATATTTCTCGAGAATCTCCAATTGGAGTTTCACCACCACAACCAGGTGCCGGTGGAATTTCTGCAAAGAAAAAAATTTGAGAAGGCATCTCAGTAGCATATGACATTTCGTTATGCAGAGCCATCTCAACATGCTTTGGATATTCGGTAGATGTGAAGACGTTGCTCATAACATGAGTACGTTTCGAGATACCGTCCTTGTAGTCTAGAAATGATTTATGTGTGATTGCGAGTGCTTGAGCGACCTGAGCGAAATGGTTGGCTGTAATTACATCAAAATGGCGGAAAAGAAGAGCACCATATTCGGTCAATTCGTTCAACAGTTGTGACTTCTTGTGTGTGATAAATTGAAGTAGGGCAGAAAGTGAACGATCATTTACTGAGTGATACACTTTGGGCATACCAGTGCAAATATCGAGAATATAATTACCTGGTGATGCAATCGATGTAGAATTAGCTAATTTCGCCCGTTCTTGTAGTTCGTGAGAGAGTGTCTCAATCGTTGAATATTTATAAATAATGTCTACTGGAAGTTCATTTTCTAACTGGCGAGATAGTACATCCACCAAAGTGATGGCTTGAAGTGAATCAACACCAAGTTGATCGAAAGGTGTAGTAACAGAAAACATGCTCGTACTGTTTCCCATCAAATGTCGTAGGCACTCTATAATTATATTCGTGTAGTCTGATACATCTTTATGACTGATATTGGTTGGTGATACTACTCCAAACGTTTTCTCTACAATAGATTCGAGCATAGACTTCTTCACATGGTCAATTGAAATTATAAGAAGCGCTTGATTGGTGTTCATGTGGAGTACAGGAACGAGCTGTTCAGTACCAGTAAGAGATACAGAATAATTCTCGAATGCTTTTTGTATTGATTTTCGAATAGATGCATCGGTATTCGTACTTGTTCCATAAGCTGCCATTAACAGGCGCCCCATATCCTTAGTCGTGCTTTGCAAACCCAGAGCAGGTGCATAAGCTTCATTACCGGAAATACTCGTACTGCACATGAGTAAGGGTCGTATAAATTTTTCATGCACCAAATCGCTATATGACATTTCATTAATGGCAGCCAGACTATGTCCTAAAAGTGACATGCCAATTATGTCCGAGTTGTCGTTCGTTGACTTATGACTCGTAGTGGAAGAAACTAGTGAATTCAGCAAATCTTGCACTGATTCACACGATGATAGCACAAGGCCACTTGATCCATCAGCCAGCTGTTGTAGTGTTAAACGAGTTACATGATCAGGTAAATCGTTCAATAAACTTTCAGGGAACAGGTCAATCAAAAGAGTTTCAGGCTTGATCATCTTGTCTTGAATCGCATCGAAGTATAATGCTCGAGTAAAAATCGATGTAGAGAACCCGAGTCGAAGACTACAAACATCGATCGCGACTTCTGAATCAAAGTTTGTATTCGAATCGAATTGAATTAATTTGATAGTGGAGCTGCACTCAGTGTTATTTTTTAACTTTCGAACTGTCCATGGTGCTCTACTAGAGATCGATTTCGATGAAATGGATGCTTTCAGAGATGAAGTTGTAGTGTAACCAAGTGCGCGAGACATGCATGACGATCTGCTTTGTGAAAACCAATTCTTGTGAGTCGTTATCTGATGTGTATCTGCGAAGCAAACGACTCGCTTGAATGGATATTTTGGCAGAGAAATATGATGCATATGAGAAGAATGAAAAAGAGCCGTCCAATGAATATCTTTGGTTGCCCCATGGGACCATAACGTACCGACGCAATTGAGAACCGAACCGCCACCTTCATTTTCGAGCAAAGTAGGTGGTGCAATCTTTGAATTCGAATCGATGTTTTGTACAAGTGACAGCAAGTTTTTACCCGGTCCAACCTGAACGAACAATAGTGGTTTATCCGAATTCATCAGTAGATTCTCAACAGCAGGACCAAACAAAACGGGCTTTTTCAGATGGGAGATCCAATAGTCGATGCTCGTCATCTCACCAACTTTAGTCAACATACCAGTCACAGTTGAAACAATAGGAAACGAGGGTTCCTTTAATACAAGGCAGGTCATCCATTTTTCCAGTTTCTCACATGCAGAATTCATGAATGACGAATGGAAAGCACTGGCTATCTGAAGATTCTTCATCTTATTTGTAGGATATTGTAAACGAAGTTGCTCTTCCATACGCTTTATGTTGCTATGCGTACCCGAAAAAACATACTGATTCTTGCTATTAATAGCGGAGATTTCAACATCAAACTCTCGTTGTAGTAGTTCAACATCCTCATCAATGTGTACAGCAAGCATTGAGCCATGTGACGATGGTATGTTTACCGTTACCTCCCAACGATATTCGAGGAAACAAATGGCTTGCTCAAGTGTAAACACTTGTGCAAGACAAGCCGCCACTAATTCGCCAGTGCTGTGACCAATGAAAAAGTTTGGTTTTACGTTCAATGCAATAAACAAACTTGCTAGAGCATATTCGACGATGAATACAGACAGTTGCGCGTAGTATTGAATGGATGAGTTAGACAGGGATGAAACTTCTTTTGTTTTCAACAGACTATCAATCACCATTTGTCGAATGGCAGAATTTTGAATGAAATTGCAACATTGGTCGATGATCTTTGCGCATATGGGATAATTTGTATAGAGATCATAGGCCATGCCAAAAAATTGGGTACCTTGTCCTGGCAGAAGAAACACAATATTGATTGGTGTATCATACTGTCTCACATCGTGCTGTGGCACAATAAGTTTCTGTTTCAGTTGTTCAATCGACGACGCCACAATAAAGCCACGTACATTATAAGTCATACGACCAAAAGCCAATGCATATGCGATACGATCACGTTGAGTCGAATTGAATTTTGACAGATGAGCTGCGAGTCGATGTTTGACTTGATTCAGTGCATCCGAATCTTTGGCACTGAATACAAAAATCTGTTGACTAGGCATATGACTAAGTTCATTCTTTGTTTTTGGCACAAACTGTTCAAGAATAAAATGGGAATTGGTCCCTCCCTGTCCTAGGGTATTGACAGCAGCTCGACGTGGTGATTGCGGCCAATTCACACATGTCGAATTTACTATAAATGGGTGGTTCAACTGAGCAATGAGCGGACTAAATTGTTGGAAATATACAGTTGGTGGAATCTTGCCACTTTCAAGAATGAGAATAGTTTTGATCAAACTAGCAAGTGTTCCAGCATGACCAGTATGTCCCACGTTGGTTTTAATTGAACCAAGATAGATTTTTGATGCCGATGTGCTATTGTTATCGTATGCTTTTGTAAGTGCTTGAACTTCGAGTAGATCACCGAGAGGGATACCAGGTCCGTGTGCTTCAACAAAACCTATCTCATAAGTCGGTCTTTCGATTTGGGCCATTTTAAGCGCTTTTTTCATGCATGCAGCTTGCATATCTGGATTAGTGATGGAGAACGAACTCTTTTTGTACCCATCGTTGTTAATAGCATGTCCAATAATCAATGCGCGTATCGAATAACCGAGAAGAATTGCTTCTTGTAATTTCATTAAGACAATTACACCGGCACCATCACCGCTCACAGCACCATCGGCTCTTGCATCGAATGCACGACAATAGCCTGTCTTGGACATGATCATACCTGGCTGATAGTTGTAGCCGGCCTCAAGAGGATAGTCGATACACACGCCAGCCACGAGAGCCACATCACAGTCGCCTGTTTCAATGCTACGCAATGCGACATGTAAGGCAGTACCAGACGAGGAGCATGCTGTTTGCACTGCCATTGCTGGTCCTGTTAGACCAAGTTTGTAAGCAACGAATGTTGGTGCACCCTCTGCCATATTACCAATCTCGACGCGCAAAATCGAAGCTGGATCAAGAGTCGTACTTTTAACTGATAACGAGGAATCACTATCTATTGTATACGGTTTGAATAAGCCGCAAGTTTCAGCGTACGTATTTCGGAACGTAGAGCCAAAGATGCCAATCGTACCAGAAAAATTTTGTGGCACAAGTCCTGCATCCTCCAGTGCTTCATAGGCAGTCTCAAGCATTATCCTATGTTGTGGATCCGTGATGTCAGCATCGCGTTTGGTCATATCGAAAAATATATGATCAAAACAATTGGCATTCGGCATCACGCATCGTGCCTGCACATAATTAGGATTGAGCTTGAGCATCTCAGCCATATGTTCTTGTTGACGCAATTCATTATGCGAGACGTGTGTACATAGATCAGATCCATTACAAAGAATCGTCCATAGATCTTCAATTGTTTCTACTGTTCCGTATCGAGCCGACATTCCGATGACTGCAATGCATTCTTTATCTTCATTCGTAAAACACTGATGTTGAACACGAATGGAAGGGGATATTGTATTCATTGGAACTTGGATGTTTTCATATTGATCTATTGTTTTGGATGGAACAATCCATTGAAGTTGACTTTCGATTGTCGTGTACTCGAACAACTTTATAATATCAAGCTTGATATCAAATAAGACTTCGAGCATGGCATGTAGCTGAACGACACTAAAAGATGTACCACCCGATTGAAAAAAGTCATCTTGAGGCTTGAAAATTCGGTCGTGTCCAAGAATATGGTGCCAGACATCTTCTATTTTGTTGTACGAAGTTTTTTTCGTTGAAATGATCATATTGTTGTCTTTATCAACGTCAGCGCTCATATTCGGTTTCGGTAAATTATTTCGATCGATTTTTCCGCCAACAAGAGGCAGAGTAGCAATTGGTATGACAAACGTAGGAATCATATACTTCGGCAAGTTTTTACTAAGATAATGTTTGATAGCGGTTGGTGATACAATCTCTGGTTTGACATAAGCCACGATGGTTTGGGCATCCTTAACTATATCACTGCGTACAATAACCACGGCATCGAGTACATCCGGATGATTCTTGATATTACTTTCAATCTCAGCTAACTCTATGCGACAACCTTCAATTTTCACTTGATTGTCGTATCGACCAATAAAAACTAAATTACCATCAGACAAACGGCGAACGGAATCGCCCGATCGATAGAGAGGACGTTGATCCGTAGTCGAGAAAGGATTCGTAGCAATAAATTTTGCAGCCGTCTGTTCCGGTAAGCTTAAATAGCCATGGCTGACGCCAAAGCCACCGATCAAGAGCTCACCTTCGTCGACAAGCTCGAGTGTATTTGATCGAACAATGTATATTGGAGTATCCGGTAAAGCGGTACCAATGGGAACAGATAGTCCATGTGCAATTATATTGTTTAATGCCGGCAATGTGACATAGTACCAAGTTGAAATGCATGTGGTTTCTGTGGGACCATAGGCATTGACCAACTGTTGAGGTGGTGGTCGACTCTGTAGAAGTACTTGACGCATAAGTTTCGCGTTTGCTCGATCGCCAGCTGACATAACACTAATCATGCCAGAGAATGCGCTCGGTACATATTCAGCCATCATATTAAATATTGGAGTTGGAAGATATGCATGGGTAATTTTATCAATTCTGAATAGATCACCAAGGAGTTTGGGTTCCACTGTATAAGTATGATCATATACTACAACACTTGCACCATTAAGAAGTGCTGCGTATAGCTCGAGAATATAGCCATCAAAACTACAGGAACTGACGTGTGCTACTCGACTGGAAGGTGTAATGCGCAAATAGTCATGCATATGCGTACGTCGAACGACAGCTTGATGCTGAATTCGAATGCCTTTTGGTTCACCTGTCGTACCCGACGTGAAAATTACGTAGCAAACATCGGTCGGTTTTACTTTCACACATGCATGCAACATTTTGTTGTCTAATTTCACCTGATCAAGTGTATTGATGAGAGAACATTCGGTAATGTTGTTATTACTACTGTTTAGAACTTGATATCCATCTACATCACATAGAACCAATTTACATGATGCAAGCTCAATCATTTTCAGAATGCGATGTACAGGTAGTGCTGGATCCAGATAGACGTATGTGGCACCTGCTGTGAGCACGCCAAACATCGACGCAACGAGATCTGCCGAGCGACGCATGCATAAGCCAACAAGAGCACCCGGATGGAGGAAGTATGTCGTTTGAAGGGAGATTGCTACTAACATCGCCTGACGATGAAGTTGTTCATATGACCATCGTAAGTCTCCCTGAATGATAGCTATTTGGCTTGGATTCCGTTGAACTTGATCAATGAAGCATTCATGAATTGTTAAACCCGAACGAATCATATGTAGTTCAGACCAGAGATAACTTTTTGTACAATTAGGTTCCCGAATGACTAGCTCGATTGCTCCTGCATAACATTGCGCTAGTTTTTCAATGCTCTTTGTTGATAGAAGGCGAGTATTTGCACGGAATGATATGTCAATTGGTGAACCTTGACCTTTTTCTGACGCATGCATATCAATGTCAGACTTTGTGAATGGTAATAAGGAATCGGACTGTGCATTGATGACCCATCTGCTACCATTTTTGAAGTCATAGTGCCAATCCAAAAGATTGTAGAAGTTCATTTCGAAGAGGACTCTAAATAGTGGTAAAAACGGCTGCTTTTGCTCGCCTCTTAATTCATTGATTGAGCGTAAATGACTGATAATATCGGTAAATGAACAAGCTTGGTTTTCTATTGCGATCAATACAGTTTCTTTGACACGTTCTACAATATCAGTCATCGAAGCATGATCATCTTCAGGCAGAATCGTGCGCAGTGCCAGAGTGTTTATCAACGGTGCAAACAGATCTTTCGAATTATCTTGACTTGTTCTCGTCGATAGTACGCTACCTACTAGAATATCTAAGTGATCGTTGCTAAACACACTCAAGACACACTTATAGAGAGCGAGAAGTAGAGTGAATAATGTGCAGCCAAAGGTTTTCGATAGTGTTCGAAGCTTATCGGCTAATATTGGAATTACGTCGACATATGATATGTAAGCTGGATGGTTCAGTTCGACTGAATTTTTAGACTTATCAATGGTCATATCACTTGTTAGTGGTAGTCTTTGATGACCTTTTATGCGTTCAACCATTGTAGCTACAAAAACATAACAAAAGAGATCAGTCAATAGGAGTAATATTTGGTCAAGCTGTGGAATGTTACCTATGGCTGTAAGTTTATCTTTGTTATTGTTTTTCGACTGATTGGAAATGAAGTGAATAAGAGAACTGACCGATTGACGTGATGCTTTATCATTGTTTTCTGTATCATAGAATCTAGCAAGTTCATCAAGAAAATATTCGATTGAATAGCCATCACATAGAATATGATGAAAATTGACTAAAAGTACATGATGATTAGGTATATCATGTATATGGATAATGACAAATCGGCATACGGGCCCCTTGTTGAGGTCAAATGGCTGACTAGCATAGAACTGTAATCTTTCGGTCAGTTGGCTCAAATCATTAAGGTTGACTTCTATTAGTGGTACCATCCATTGGGCTAGAATATGTTGCCAAACAGATCCACCGCCGTCCTCTTTATATACCGTACGTAATAACTCGTGTCGGGTCATAAGTTTGTACAAAGCAGAGAAAAGTACAGTCTGGTCATAATCTCCATTGATATCAAGCGCTACAGGCACATTGTAGCACGGGTTATTCGGTTTCATTTTCCACAAGAACCAAAATTGCCGTTGGGCTGGCAACAGTGGAAGCTGTTGACGTGCCGTAGAAAATTCATCAGTCGATGTTGCCATTGTCGATATAATGGATAATTCTTGCGACGCGACTGTTTGTTCAATTTGATTAGCATAATCTTCTAGAGTCATGCACTGAAATAGTTGGCGAACGGATGTTATAATGTTGAATGCACGATGAATGCGGGCAACAACTTCCATCGCTAACAAAGAATGACCCCCCAGTTGAATGAAATTCGCCGTCCGAGGAAATTCCGGCTGCTTAAGTACACTCGTCAATATGTTGAATACGGTGGTACTCACGCGCTTGTCTATCGTCGGCTTGGGCAACAATTTTCGATTTATTTTTCCAATCGAATTTATTGGCATTTTTTCGAGAATGACAATAAATGATGGGATCATGTGATGTGGTAACCATTGAGCCAGATGAAAACGAATGGCATCTTCGGTAATGTGAAATCCTTCCCTTGGAACAACATAAGCTACTATATGTTGAGAATCATCAGTAGCGTCATCCAGAATATCATTGCGCAAAATAACGACAGCTTCACTTAGCGCTTTTATTTCCAATAGGCGAGTCTCAATTTCGCCTATTTCGATTCGCTGAGAGCGTATCTTGACTTGATTGTCCTTTCGATAAAGGAACTCGACATTACCATCCTCTAGCATACGTACTGTATCGCCTGTTCGATATATGAGCTCGCACTCTTCATTAATATTTTTTGATACAAATGGATTAGGTACAAATTTTTTCATTGTTAAGGCAGCATCGTTGAAGTATCCAGCACTAACACCCGCGCCACCTATTAGTAATTCGCCGGGCACTCCGATCGGTACCAGCTGGAGATAATTATCGACCACGTACACTTGTGTATTAGGCAATGGTCGACCAATGGGAATGAAGTACTTTTGCGAAACATCAGACGTAACAGTGTAACAGAGCGCGTTATGTGTAGTCTCAGTCGGTCCATAGCCATTCATTAGTGTCAATGGTGGATGCAGACTGACTGCTTGTACACATTTGAGGTTGGCTTTCTCACCAGCGAAAATAACCGAGTTTAGTGTGGGGAAAAAAGTAGAGCTTTCGGCTTGCTTTGAAAGTATATTGAAAACGGCTGTTGGTGGATTGAGCATATCAAGGTGAAGCTCTTCCAGTGCTGAACACGATGCAATCGCTGTGCAGTCGACAATCACAAGAGTACCTCCATTCAAAAGGGTAGCAAATATTTCAAACGTAGATACATCAAAGCTTAAAGAACACACTTGACCTACACGATAGCCAGGCTTTATTGAATGGCAGCCAACACCCACCGTACGACATATGATGTTCTTGTGCGTCGCACATACACCTTTTGGTATGCCTGTCGAACCGGACGTGAAAATTATATAGGCGAGATCATTCGGTGCCATGAGTACCTTGGCTTCTGCATTCTGTACTGAATCAATGTCATATGCCACATCTGTATTTAACAGTGATGTATGAGTTATTATCGGTATTGCATATTTGAACCTGTCCTCATCAATGGTATCAACAAGATCGGTCACTAACATAAAAGCATGGGTCTCCCGTAGGATCCATGCTTTGCGTTCGAATGGCAGATCTGGATCAATATTGATATAATAGTGACCGGCAAGTAGAACAGACCACATGGTCTGCACTACCTTAATAGAACGGTAAGCCATTATGGCGATACATAGCTTCTCATCACCACGGTTTGCTGCCAGTAAGCGTCGTGTTATTGTAGAGGCAGCTTGAATACTGTTTTTCCAGAGTTGAGCATATGATATTATTTGACCATTATGTTCGATTGCAATCGCTTCTGGACAAGCATTTGCTTGTTCACAAAACAATTGGCACAGTGTTTTTTCTAGCGGCTGATGACTATCGCTAACCGATGGGTAGGAAAACTCGTTGATGAGACGTGTTTGTTCGTCATCGGTCATCATGGGCCAGTGGCTCATACGAGTATCTAAACTGGCAAAGGCAGCTTCGCAGAGTTGCAGCCAATGACAAATGAGTCGCTCTATGGTCGATGCTTTAAATAGATTCGTCCGATACTGAGTTTGTAAAGACAATCCCCCTTGATCGTCTTCCCACACATGGACTTCTAAATCACATTTGGCAGTTGGATCTATTACACGCATCTTACTCATTAGGCTGGAATTGACTTTTTCTCCGACATTTTGATAGGCGAAGATCACTTGGAACAGTCTCGACGCGTGTGAATCACGCTCAAGTTGTTCAAGTTGTGATGTGACATAGGCGAAGGGTGCTTGTTGATGTTCAAATGCTTCTAGTACTGTTTTCTTGGCATAATCGACTAGCTCATGAAATGTTGGATCAGCACTTAGGTCAAATCGCATGAGTAATGTATTGACGAAGAGACCTACTGTGTGTTCAATCTCTTCAAAATAACGGTTGAAAACTGGTGTAGCAACGATAATATCCTCCCAATTGCCAGTATAGCGAGCAATTAATGCACTGAAAGTGCTCAATAATACCATAAATGGTGTGACATCCATGGTTTGGCATATGAGATGAAGTTGAGAGGCAAACTTAGGGGAAATTTCACAGAAGTAAGTCGATCCGTCGATATCTGATCCTGATTGACGATCAAGTGGAAGAATGGCATAATTAGCAGTTCCATTGCTCAGTATTTCTTTCCAATAAGCAACATCCTTTTCCCACATCGCTGTGTTGAGTTGTATCAAATATTGATGAAACTGCCACTGTATTGGTGGTAGGAATAGATTTGGAGCGATTTTATCGATAAGAGCTTGCAAAATTTGGTTAAGCTCATGAATAATCACACCAATAGACCAGCCGTCAACGATAATATGATGAAAGATCATACTCAGAACGTGTGGTCGATCATCAATGGTGATTAAGTAACACAAAAAGCAAGGTTTTGACTGCTCTAATTGAAACTTTTGACAGAGAAATTGAGTCAATTCTAGTTCAATAGGCTGCTCGGCTGAAAAAGCACGCACGATTAGAATTGGTGTACCGTTGACAGTGTTCATCACTAATGGCTTAACTGCTTGAACAATATTGCCTTGATGGTCGCGCTCGAAGACAGTACGCAAAGAGTGATGCCGTTCAACCAGTAGTCGAACGGCTTCAAGCACGAATGCCGTTGTGATACGTTGATCTACAATTTTATATGTGGCTTCAATATTATATTTTGCTTTTATGTCATTAGACATTTCATCATCGATCCAAATGCCTTGTTGACCGACACTGAGTGGTACCACTGTAGGGAATTCAGTCTCACGTAATGTACTTGCGGGTGCGGATTGACAGGGAAACATATTTCCAATGGCACTTTGCTCATCTACCAGTTTGCATAAACCAAGCAGAGTAAGATTTGCAAAAAAGTGCCGGATCGGTATGTGCACATGATAATGAGAGTAGAGCTCACGTTGGATCTGAATTGCCAACAGTGAATGACCACCGAGTTGTGTAAATGTTCTAGTTCTTGCATCGGTGGCATTAGCAACGTCCAATATTTTGCACCACATAGGAAAGACTAAAGATTGAATATCATCGGTGCTATTGAATGCTTCACCGTTAACTTCAGACTGATATCTTGCATAGAGTACAGACAGTTGAGCTCTATCAAGCTTACTCGTGGTTGTGTATGGAATTGTATCGACACGAATATAACTTTTTGGCAATGCATAAGATGGCAAACTTGAGCTCAACCAATCAACAAGTTCATCATGTTCAACTAACTTGTTGCTAGTATAAAAAGCAACGAGTTGCTCTTTGTCAATTTTAGCGACGAAACATCCACTAGCAGTTACGGCCGGATGTTGATTGAGCACCGTTTCAATCTCTTCAAGTTCAACGCGACAACCACGAATTTTAATTTGACTATCAACTCGAGCCAAGAAGATGAGCATTTGGGTTGTTTGATCAAGACGTACTAAATCACCCGTCCTAAAATAAGTCTTGCCATCGATTGATATATGTTTCGATGCTGTCAATTCTGGTAAATTAAGATAGGCCGTAAACAAACATTCACCTGCGATCAAAAGTTCACCAACATCTGTTGATAATTGGCCTTGCGAATTAAGAAGAGCATAATCAACATTACCAATGGGTTTCCCGATGGGGATCGATTCAAATTGACTATAGTTTAGTGCATCGGTTATTTCGTGATACGTGGCATCATTACCTGTCTCTGTGGAGCCATACAAATTAAGTAGAATGACCTGTGGTAGGAATGTACGAAATAGTGCACAAGCATTCTTTGTTAATTTTTCACCACTGAAAATGATTAACTTGAGCGACCGAAGCTGCTTTTTACACGTAGTACTATCAGGAAAAGCTTTTAGAATCGATGATAGCATAGTAGGAACTACTGTTAGTCGAGTAACTTGCCGCCGATCGATCAAATAGGAGAGAGAAAATGGATCACTAGACACGGCACTTGACGCCATTACGGTAGGTATTCCTTGCAAAAGACCACCCAACATCTCCCAGATGCTATCGACAAATGTAACTGATGTTTTCCACAATTGCCGATCATTTGCTGTCCATGGATATGCATTCCACATCCATTTGAATCGATTCCAGATGGCTCGATGAGATACTATTACACCTTTCGGTGTTCCACTCGAACCCGATGTGTACATAATATATAGAGGATCGTTGGGTTGAAACGGAGGTCGATTTGGAGTAAATGGTGCCGACTCGTAGCACTCATTGTTCGGTCGAAAAATTCTGTCTGGCTCGATAAATTTTTGCAAATTGCATTCAAGTAACTCTTCAGTTATCATAACTATTGGCTTGGCATCGTCGAGAATCGCTTTTAAACGACGCGAAGGAATCGAATGTTCCAGAAGAAGAAACGGAGTTCGACAGGCAAGTGAAGCTAGGATACTAACAAACACATTCGTTCCACGCTCCAGATAGATGCCTATATATTGACCTGGCCTTACGCCTCGTCGACACATTGAAGCATACAACGAGTTAACCCTACTGGACAATACTTTATAAGAAATTTCATCTCCATTTTCAGTAATCAAACAGGGCTGTTTAGAATAGCGAATAGCCACGTGACTGAACTGCTCATAGAAATCATTTCTGATCGCTTCCATTTAAAAGTCTAAAATTCAAAATACTGCGAGGGAGATTCATTTTAGTGAACTTTTATGACATAAATGTAACGATATTGGTTTAGTGCATTATATGCATGTATTTGATTTTCTCATTACTTCTAATCCTATGTATTGCCCTTATCATTTGGTCCTTATTTTATACTTCGCACTTTATATTGTGTGTCGCACTTAAAATACCACATAAAGATAGCATAAAAGCGGGTGTTTTATATGTAATCGATGCGATTGATGACAGGAATAGGGGTATGACAGTTCAGTTTTAGTTCAGATCCTTAGAACTGTTCAGACAGTTCCTTAGATCTGATCTGAACTGTTCGACTAGATCAGATCAGATCATTAGAACTGTTTGAACAGATCTTTGGATCTGATCTAAACTGTTCAAGCAGATCAGATCCCATCAGAGACGCCTATGTCGATATAGACATCATCCCAGTGTAGATCCTAACAGTTCTTAGATCTGATCTGATCTGCCCGAACAGTTCTTTTGATCTGATCTGATCTGCTTAAACAGTTCAGATGCGATCTACGGAACTGTTCGAACAGTTCTAATGATCTGATCTGATCTGTTCGAACAGTTCTTTCGCTCATTTGATCTGAACTTAGATCTGAGAACTGTCACACCCCTAGATAGGAAGAATCGAATAAAGCTAAATAACAACATCGAGCTTCTCTCTTCCATCAAAAATCGACACAATAAATACAACCGTAAAGTTTAATTAATATGTTACCAGAGATATGAGGTTTCGAAGTTCTCGTACTCATCTCTTTTGGAGGAAAAGAGATTCCAGATGTGGCTGGGTGTGGGTGTGGGTGTGAGGATATCGGAAAAAATAAGTTTAACACGCTCATACACACCCACACCCACACCCTCAGCTTAAGCAGATATGTTAGAGGCCGGTAATCAAAGACACAATAGGTCCCACTTATTTTGGCCGGGGAATACATATTTATGATATGCTCTTTTACTCTTTCATGAAATATTCTGAATCTATAAAAACCTATAGGGAAAAGTTTTGCATGACGAATGAAAAAATGCTGGCTGCATGAACTCTTGGGAAAAGTGTCCTCAAAGCATAAGTTTTTCATGTTTGTGTTTGATCATCAGTACATTTCGGCGAGAAAACAATTCGAGAAGAGAGAATTCATGAACGTTTTTATTTACTCAAAAAGCGGATGCATACTAGAAGTGTTGAGTATATCCGCCTGTTTACATGATAACTTTGAAAAAGAGTGTCCAATCGCAAGGGAATTCTCTGTAGTTTTGCTTCATTAATATGTCGATCAAGTTCGAGTGTGAGAATGATTGGTGCAGTCATTACTTAGATATCACAGAAAGAGCGATTTTTCTGTATGCTTTTTGATGCGAACGTTCGCTCACGACATTTTTTGCGATAAAGTGTTCTTATGATCATCTAACCAAACTAGAATTATTATACATCATTCAATAAAAAATTCGCGAGCTTAAAAATGTTAAATAGGACATTTTAATTTTGAATTCAATGTTTCCCATAAGGGAAAGGTCTTTTTACTTCAATGAAGTTCGCCAACGTGAGCTGGCTGACACTTATTCGTTACTACACTCTAAGATGAGCTTTTAAATGTTTTAATCAGAAGGAATTTGTTATGAATAATTTATCGCTTTTTGAAGTACATATAACATTGGGATTCAAATCCGAGGTTTCCCCATTTATTCTAGAATGATGTCGTATACACGTTACATCTTTGTTTCTGTATTCTTTTTTATACGGTTTTAGTTATTGTCAAAACCTCTTGTCAACAAAAGCAATACGCTATTTACTATCTTTTACATTAATCTTGACTTACCAACAATTGATTAAAAGAAGCAAAATGAATATTGTGCAATAGAACGACTATTTAAATATCTGTCAGCGGGACAAAATTCCACGAAACGAGTGAATGATTAGAAACTATCGAAAATAATATTTTTCTTCTGTGCATACACTTCAATGAATTTTTTGAAGAACTATACTTAACTGTCGCTCATGCATACAATGATATTGCGAATAAGAAATCTTCGAACTAGAAAATTGCACAATAATGGCATAAACAGAAAAATAGACAACTTACCTGTAGAAATATTTTGTTTATCCTTGTGGCTGTAATGCATACTGGGCACATGCATACGCTCGAATAAGCCCTGACACAGAAGCTAAAGTGCACCCACTTTTCTCTTGAAACTATCTAAGATGGATTAATTGATACTAGAAGCTTTGTATGGATTACATGCGCATCAACGCATACTTCAATACAAACTGCTACTATACGTAAATTTTAGATTTTGATGTCATATGGCTCTAAAAAGACATGTCTTTAAAGTGTACGCAGATTTCTACCAAGAAGTTATCCCCCATTTTTTTCCTTTCAATAAGTTGTAGGTATAAATCTAAATATATTGGGATAAACTCTAAAAAAAATGGGTTTTGTACGAAATCTCACAAAAAAGGTTCCGTAGGTTTGAAAAAGATTGCAAATGAGTCAAAATGTCCAAAAACCAAGTTTTCAATTCTACCGAACCTTTAAAGGTTCTTCCCGTGTGGAGTGTGAGTGGATGTGGGTGTGTGGTGTGGGTGTGGGTGTGGGTGTGGGTGTACGTGTGGGGTGTGAGTGTGGGTAAAGGTAAGACTCAAACCACACCCACACCCACACCCAAGAAAACTAAATCAAGCAATCGAATAGCCCGATAACCTTTCGGGTCTGTCTGAAAAGTTTTTTAGTCGAAAATCAGGCGTACCTGGAAGTATACCAAGTTCAAGTAGTTCGAAGTGGAAATCTACTACTTCCTTTTCCCATATCTAGAATCTGATGTCCTTCAATGAACTTTTTCATAAGATTTTGCTTATTTTTAGTTTTATTCATTTTTTGATTCAAACGAATATTTCGCGTTGAATGAAAACGATATTCGATTTATAGAAAACAAAATGAAAGATATAGTGAAAAACGAGACACTTTTTCAAGATCAAGTTTTACCAATACCATCAATTGCAACAAATTTTACACCATCATCGTCAAGAAATCAGCCAAAAGCATCAACATTTGACCAGTTTTTAATTGCATGTGGTCAACCTGAAGTTGTTATTGAACCGAAGCTAAGCAATAACAAATTAAGCATCAATGAAGAACTAAAACTTTATAAAAAAAACCATGATCGACTTCTACAGCAATCGATCCTTGACTGTAACATCATCACTTGATTTTTGGAAAAAAAAACTTTATTCATTTACCTATTTTATCAGAACTAGCCCGAGGCTATTTATCAACGCCGGGCACCAGCATCTCGTCGGAATCAGCATTTTTCAGTTTCATCATGTGTTAATCGAAAATAACGAGCACGATTGTGTGCAGAAAACTTGTGCTTTACTATGTTCTTGAAAGACAAAATTATACCAAAAAATAAAATTTAAATTGTGTACAAAAAATTATTTTTCTTTATCGGACTTGTATTTTATTTCTTAAGTTCATCCTTCTGTTGTTTTAAGTCTTAAGCTCATACATATAGTGAATGGTTTTTTGTTTATTTATCTTTAAGAATACTTTTTTTTTGTCTAAACTAACATGTGTGTTCTTCTGGTTTTCTTCTTATCTCGTAATTGTTTCTTTTTGTAACATAAACTCAGATAATTCAAAATATACTATTATGACATTTGATAAGGACACGATAAATAATCCTCCTGAATATTAATAGGAACTCATGAATTTTTCACAGCAGCTGTATGAATTATAGTTTTTATTGCAATACTTAATTGCATCACACGAAAAAGCTGATTGTTACGAGAAAAAATATATAAAAGATATATTTATTCGTAATAAAAAAAACATATCAGTCGATAGAGCTTGATCTCCTGAATCAAATGATGTAATTTCTCTTCGAAAAAAATTATGATATTCGGACTGAAAACATGTTTTTTATGCCAATCCTATGCATTTTGGCTGGAATGATGCAATTAAGACATGGGTAGAACGGGACAAAAATGAAAGTAGGTGTTTGTGTCTTTGTTGCTGCTCACTCAAAACGAATCGTATCTTGATGAAAATTATACAATTCGATAGAAAAATGTTTTGTCTGTTCCGGAATCTAAAAATCAGCTCAAACGGACTTCGGGAAGCGGAGATATTCGATATTTTTTATCAGATTTGAATATCGTGATGGAATTTGGAACAACCACTCTATAGTTGAGGTCGGTTTCAATATAGTAGAATGGCATGAGATGCACTCTAATAACGTTTTTCAGTTTATCATGTACGTATGGGATTAGTATTTCATTACATCTAGGTATCAAAGAAAACTAGATGTTGGTTCTTTGTCTATTGATAATACAAATGAAGCAAGTGTTTTATTAATTGTAGTCAACGAAATAATATCATCAGAAGAAACATATACTTAGTATTATTCTTAATTTTGAACCAAAAATAAAGCCGAATTTTTTTTGATGAACGCAAAGCAAAACATATTTTCTTCTCCCACTAGGAAAAATATGAAAACGCATGCCTTACTGTTTATAGGATATACTATATAATTCATCAGTTAATTTATTTCAATTACATGAGAAATTTCCGTGTGACATTTTATGTAGGTTATTCTATTGAGAATTGATTCCCTTGTCTACATAGATATTGTGATCTTTTTTTGAGTTTCTGCTCTACTTACACATGCTATAAGCTAATATAATCTTTAAACTTATCATCAAGAAAAAAACAGCAATATTTGATGGAATATTTTTTTATAGTCTAGGAAGAAGTTGAACAATTTATGCACCGGCAATCATCATCTGAAAGATATCGTGATGACAAAAATAAAACTGTGCAAACGGCTGTATAGCTTCCTATTAAATATTGATGTTGATTAGTAAATTCGTAGAAGCTTATTTCCATTATGTATATTCTTTGTTTTCTGCTTCCAACGATATTTTCTTTTTTTTTTATAGATAGAAATGAGCTTATCTGATCATTGAAAAAAGTTTGATTGATTTAAAGATCGAGAATAATCAGGTTGTTTCAATCGAATTCCAATTATTATACATATGTACTAAATAACGAGATAGAATCCAAGGATTAGTATTCTGTAAGACGATGCCCTCTGAAGTAACATCGTGACAACAGTGAATTTGTTTACAAAGCGTAATTAGACATATGTTGAGGCACGAAAAAAAAATATGTTCGAAAGAAAATGAACATAAAAACATACTGTTGGATGAATCTCATCCGATTATCTTATGAATCATGTCAATCAAAATGAACTCAGGAAACATAATCCAACAGCCAGTATTCGGAAATATTTTTAGACCGGATTTGAAGGAAGACTTTTCATGAGTTTGATCGACACTAACTAGGAACAATATGCAGAAGCTAGAAAAAAAATTTGATTCTTTCTCTCTCTAATAACAGTAATAGAGACTATCTTTTTTACAAATCGTTGCTATCCGAGATTTTAATCTAATCAGATCATTGTATACCATAAGATTAGTCGAAATTATTCTTTCTTCTAATCTAACATTTAGCGACTAAAACTTATTAATATTTCGAGATTGGGTTACAAAAAAGAAATAACATGAATACATGAAACCTGAGATCCTACAGTTTTGCTTGTGTCTACATGTAGTTTGACAATTATATAAAGTAGACAACTGATCTACTTGTTTTCTGACTACAATAGACTTCTAAAAGCTATTATTTATTTGAAGTACCGAATTGCATGAACGTTTTCAACAAGAAAATAACTATCTAGGGATAATTTGCATTACACCATTGGCACATGTTTCTGCAATTTCCTCATCTAATTATGGATTGTCAACAGCTATCGGTTCGAAGCTCTTTTTTTGTTATTGAGAAGCATTTTCCGCATAGCTGAACATTTCCTTATCAAACATGTAAAAAAAAACTACACTTTTTTTATGAATGAAAAGAATAATAATTAAATTTACCGAATTAAGTATTGTGTAGGTGATTGGAAAAGAAAATTTTCACTTTAGTTGTGAAAATTTTAAAAAAGAGATTTTTTATTTACACATCGAAACGTAAAGGACTGTATGATATAGTCAAATCTTGATAATTTGCTCAGTTCATCTATCAAAAGTAATTTCCTTGTTACTCAATTTCATGATATTTCATATGAATGATTCTGCAAATGAAAAATATTCACTTATTCTAGAGATGGCTTTTGTAAAAGTGATAACGCTACTAGAAAGACAAAGATCATAATTGCAAATAAGACAAATGATTTATAGAAGAAGAAAAGAGTTTTCTTTTTATTGAATTCTCCTAAAGCATATTATTTGCATCACTAATCGCTCACATATAATAAGATTTATTCTATTTTTATCTCTGAGCTCCTGTGTAATTCATATTTCAGCATAAACATTTCGATATTAACATATTATAAGAACAAATAAGACTATAATAGATAGAAAACATTACTTTCTGCATAATAAGGAATTTCTCACATACTGAATTCTTACACAAAGAATTTTTCTTTCCTCGACACAGTAATTCAAATAGGTCAAAGACATTTCAATGAAAAATAATATATGTAAATATATTTAGTCGCTTATCTACCAGAAAGCAAGTAGAATCTGGCATTTCTCTGTCTTTCACTTTATCCACATTTCTCAATCGAACAGAAATCGATGTATTTTGATAATATTGTTCATATTTATCTATTTGTTTTTACCATGAGGATTTTTGATTTCTTAAAAATTGAACTCGAATAGATAGACTTTTTCAAAACCATCACTCACATCCTATATATATATATATATATAGTAAACGATTAGATTATTTTTTTCATATAGTTAAAAAAAATATTTTTAATTAAAATTATAATCGATTGCATTTAATCTAGAACTCCAACCGATTGTAAGTGCAATCTCAGTTTTGACAATGCAGACTTGATGAAAAAGTCTATTCAAAGAAAATGTAAGTATGACGGGTGCTACCGTTCTGCTGGTTTTACTATTAAAAATAAAATGCAAATTATCATCTATTCGCTTCCAGTGTTCTTTTTTCCTATGAATGCTATGTGAGTACGGTGACATCATTTTTTATTTCAAGGACACAGAAAAGTCTGATTTTAAATTACAGAGAAGCGCTGCCAATTAGAAAACAAAATTATTCGAATAGGAAGCACGAAATCTTGTTCTGTATTTTCGACTCGATGTCATGACAGGAAAGAAATGATGATATTTAGAATGGAACGAAAGTCATGATAGAACATTAAATAGTTTATCTTTTATTGGTATTAATTTCGCATGATCTTTTTCCTTCGTCTTATCTCTAAGCGCTTTTCAGTGGATTATCTGTTGCAAAATATAGGCTACTAGTTATGGCTTTCTATTAGTAAAAGTCTTCAGATGATTGAAAAGACTGTTGATGTGTTGTTGTTTTTGTTTTTGTTCTTGTTCTTGTTCTTGTTCTTTTGTCAGATGAATGATAAGATCATATGACATTTATGATAGTGCCTATCTGTCATTAAAGCAATCAAAAAATATCTTGCTTTACTTGTGCCAATTTTCACTATATTCATCTTCGTAGCTAGCGTTAGTGGGTATGAATATGCATGCAAATATCAAGCCTTGATGCTATTTCATTCAAATGATTTTATTTGTCTGAAGACAAATGAACCGTCGTTCTCTTATTTTTCCAAGTTCTCATCTCGTCATTCTGCGTATGTCGTGCGTCGTTGTCATTAATTTTCTACGCCAAGAACCGAAAGAGAGAAAAAAAAGAAAAGAGAAATCTAGAAAAAAAGCAGAGAGAGACAGAGAGAGAGTCGTGGAAAAACATAGAAGGTCTATCCAAAACAGCCCAATGATAAGAGACGATAATGCGTGTTGTATTCACAGATTTACGGAGCCCATCCATTAATCGTTATTTTGGATCAAATAGAAAGAAGCAAGAGACAAAAAGAAAAAAAAATAACTGAAAAGGAAAATGATTATTAGATAAAAGAAAACACAACATTAAACGAGCAGGATAACAACGGAAATCAAGGAAAGAGTTCTTTTTCTTTTAAATTTATTTTGTCACCCGTAGTTTTTATAAAATAGCGCACTTGGAATGCTTGATTAAATCATATAGCTACTATCAAGTTTCTTGCTCACGAGTTCTCTTTTTTCCGTACTTTCAGATAAATTTATTTGCTAATGACATTAAATAATAGTATAGATTCTTTTTCAACGAATTCGTCTTTTCTTATGGCAAGAACTCCATCAATGCCAATAAGCTCAACGAACGACTATGCAATTCCACTTGAAAATCGACCACCTATCATGGCAACGTTTATATCATTGTATGCATTAATTTTTTTCTTTGGTATAACTGGAAATGCTCTTGTCATTTGTAAGTACTCGTTTTAGCTTTTTAGTTTATCTCTATGTTAAGGATTTGTTTTAAAATTTTGTTAGTTGTTGTATGTCGGAATAAAGCAATGCAAACTGTTACGAATGTGTTTATAACGAATTTAGCACTTTCAGATATTCTTGTAAGTAAATTCTTATAAAATGATAAAATATTTCTTTTCTTCTAATATTCCCTTCATTCTAGATGTGCTGTTTAGCTGTTCCATTTACACCAATATCAGCCTATGGACACACATGGCATCTGGGAAGAATACTATGCCATCTAGTGCCGATGTCTTTAGGAATATCAGGTACGATGTGACCTATTTAAATTATTTAGGCGTCATCTTACTAAGTCTTCGTTTAGTTTATGTATCAACATTAACTTCTTTAGCAATAGCTGTTGACCGTTACTTTGTTATAGTACATCCATTTCGTTCTCGAATGCGTTTAGGTGTCTGTATATTATTAATTGTTGTTATATGGATTGTTGGCATTTCCATATCGTTACCTTTAGCTATCTATATGCGATTCGATCGTACAAAATGTGAAGTAAATTTAAGATGAAAAACAAAATTAAAACCTTAAGATTTAAAATAATTGCTTTTATTTAATAGGAGTATTGGCCACAGTATACGTCGAGAAGATTTTTTAATTTTTCGTCATTAGTTTTACAATATCTAATTCCGTTCTCAGTTATATCATTCAGCTACTATAAAGTATGGGCTGTTCTTGCACGTCGTTCATTACCGGGACGTACACGAATACGTGAAGAAATTGAACTTTGTCGTAAAAAGCGCACAAATCGAATGTTAATTGCTATGGTCGTTATATTTGCTATATGTTGGTTACCCTTGAATATCGTTCATATGGTTGCAGAATTTCATCGCTCCGACTTAAGTCATTATAAAGTTTTATTCTTAAGTACACACGTCATTGCCATGTCATCGACAGTCTATAATCCATTTTTATACTCATGGTTAAATGATAATTTTCGTAAGGAATTTCAACAAATTATACCTTGTTTATTTAAAATATGCCCATGTTTCAATCAAAATAGCTTAAATAATACTATCAATACGATAGGCGATGGTGAAATGTATAATGATCGCCCGAATACATACCGTGCGCCAACAGAATCAACAACAGATGGAAACTCCAATGGTTTTACAGTGAAAAAAACAACTTTAGAAAATATTCCATTAGCATCAATCAAACAAAGTCCATCTATAGAAGAACCATTAATTACGTCAAACAATCCAACAGCAATTAATACTAATTTTCATAATGTATAACATTGATATTCTGTGTTAAATTTTTTCTCTCGTGCTTTGCCTTAAGAAAAAGAAAATTTACTATGATTAATATCTGTTTGTTGATATCTTTTCGCTCTGCATTATTACAAAATAAAGAATCAAATCATATTTGAAATGAAAAAAAATTACTTATGAATAAAACGTAAAAATATTGTTTTTGCAGAAGTTAACTCAACCAAATGAGAAATAACCTCAAAGGACCAATGCATTGCATTACTTTCCAGTTCACATGAAAAAATAAGACATTTTCTATCGCTAATCATGATAATTATATATGGACGCTTTCTGGTTTCCTTTTGTAGTTTTCTGTGTGCGTATTTATTTCAATGAACGTAGAAAAGAGTAAGACATGCTAATAACGTCGTTTTCGTTGTTATATCAGAATGTTGTAAAGAAAAATTGAAGGCTAACGACAGGGGAGATTATGAAAAACTCTTGTTTTGAGCTTTTTATGATTATATTTCGAACCAATTGAATGCTACTAGTAAATATTCCAATAAGCACAAAGCTACTTGGATAACTTAAGTAAATTTTGCCAAAAAAAGATCTACAAAAATATATAACCTTTTCGATTAAAAATAATAACATTTATTTTCACAACAAAATAATCATTTGCTTACTCATTCTTCAAGTACAAAAGCGATTGAATAGTATGCAAGATTAATTTCCTGGGGATTTTCTTCTAAATCATATTAGTTATCTTATTCCGACCGAGTGATGGTTTTTTATAAGTGCAGAAATGTATGCAATAATGACTTTTTTTCGAATATAATTTTAATATGCCTCGTTTCATCAAGGACGCAAACAATGCATAGAGTTTTTTTCTTCTTCAGACAAGATAGCACGAAGAAAATATAAAAAAAACTAATATTTGTTTTCCATTACCATATGTAAAATTGGGTGCTCCTTTATTCTGGTATCAACGAACAACAAGATATAGTATGCAAATAACATCCTATGGCCATATATCGTATAGTGAATAAGCATTATAGAGATCAAAAGGTGTAATAGGAAAAAAACACACTTCTGTCTTATGTCAAACGTGGCATAGCTCTTATCTATCATTTATATTGTTGGGTGTATGCGTTCTATTTTAATTGAGTTGATAGTTTTCACAACAACAAGAAGGCATTCTTTCATCAGTACATTTGTACTGTCTTTTCAAGATAACAACACAGAAAAAGCAATAATAATGAGAGATTAGCTGGAGCTTTTCAGATAGACGACACTCTGTGCGTTAATTCATTTGGCTGGCAAAGAATATGGTGACTGATGTGTTATTAAGCTGAAGCAGGACCTGATCTGTCTAATGAATAGAAATCTTCTATCACATAAAGACGTAACGGGTTTGAAAATTAAAACAAAGAAATATTAGGAACAAAGTCGTTGTGCACTTTTCACTTAGATCAAAGTTCGATTTTATTTTGTTCTCGCTGACGGATTCAAAAACAAAATTGACTTTCGTTGTAAATAGGTGACTCATAAGAAAGTAATGCTTTGAATGATTCATTTCCGTTAAAAAAAAACAAGAAAAAGGAGTCATATTGATTTGCATTTTTGCTTCATAGGAGCGTGTTTTTTTCCATTTGCTTTGCCTCTTTTATATGCTCTTGATGGCCCTCTGAAAATAATATTACGATAGAATGCTCTATTTGTATGATATTAATATTTTTTTATTTCTTCTATTCATAAAAAGGGCAAAAATACTTTTGACATCACACCAATTTGAATAGAGCCTATAACAATCTGACTAATACAGTTATCCACTCAGTCTAATTTATTTTTAGGCGTATAAAAATATGACTAAATCGAATTCATTTGACTATGTTGGTTCATTGATTGACAGTGATTCAGGAATTGGTCTTGACTATAATACGTCATCTTCAACTTTAAATGAATCATTGCCGCCATATTTTTCTCGATCACTAACACCATCTCCGGTTCCTTTCACTTCGACGACAACAACAACATCACCACCAACCCTTAAAAAACGTTATGATCTTGTGCCGACAACTAAATTTTTTTCCGATGGTATTATTGAACGTATTCGTCCGGCTATAATGAGAAATAGCGAAAATGGAGACTATATCGTTTGCCAGACAAATCGCGGAACATTCATTGCTCATCGAACACCAATAGTTCCTGAATGGGTTCGAGATCTTGTTGAAGAGATCGAATATCAGCAGCGATAAAAATTAAGTTTGATGAACATATGTTTTTTTTCCAATATATTATATAATAAATTTTATTTGAAAAAAAATGAATCAATTCATGTCATATTTAGTAAGATTATGTTTGATGATAATTGGCTCCTTTCTCTACTACAAAGTTTGTTCTCGAACTAAGGAAAATACGAAGTTCGTAAGTCTTGTGATATATTTCATTAAGAGAAATATTTCAAGATCAAATTACAAACAATGAAGAATTAATTAATTGCGTAGTTCACGTGTGTTAGACTCATTTTTAGGGGAGAAAAAAACGTTTACTGAGCTCGTTCAGTATAAGCGCTACTTCACAATTCATTCTTTTCAATATTCTTTTGTTCTTCATGAAGAACAGAACTATTTCTAATATGTTATATATAGTATCTATAAAATGAAGATAGTTGTATTCTTTAACCTACTAGAAATAAAAATGATATAATACAATAGAGTAATTTAACTCGGCCATTTATTATTGAATGATTCTGAAAGTACTTTGTTGTTTGAGAAGAATACACAATGAGTGAACAGATTCGATGATGAAGAAAATTGTGAATACTGCGGAATCATTGAACTGGCAAGTTTTCACACGATTACATGAAATTGAGATATAGTTAATAGAATCCTTTTCATTTTTACTCATACAGAATCAGATCATCAATTATTCTTATTATCAATGCGGTAAAAGAAAACCTAATGATCCAATCAGTTACTAATAAAAAAAAAGAATAAGACTGATGATATATCTTGAGGTTCACTATTCTCACGTATATTTCTTTTAGGTTTCGGATTTATTTTCAAGCATGACATGTGTTATATCGAACAACTTTGATGGATTATATTTACTTTATTTTTATCAATGAAATAGCTAACTACTACTCTGGGAATTTGAATAAAACATTCTTGTAATAGTAAGACATGTGCGATTCAATCTAGTATTAAATACGACAAAAGTTTAATCCTTGTTAATTAAGTGCTCTCTTTCTCATGATTCAGTTCTCTCACGGTCATATATAGATTTTCAATAGACATTCCTCGCAAAACAAATAACAATAATTAAGACAAAAAAGGAAACGATGAACATTATTTCACTAGAAGAATAATATTAGAAAAACAAGAAAAAATGTCGGCGCTCAATATAGAAGAGGTTATTGTGTATGTAACTATTTTTCCTGTTTGAAGAACATCAACAGTATCTTGGAATAAAAATAGCTCAAGGCGTTCTTCTTATTTTCTTTGAATATTTTAAAATAGCAATCGTAACCGTTGGATTCATGTGCAGAAGAGCAGAAATGACTTTTAACTTTGATTATAGGCTTGCAGAAAGTAGACGTTCGAACTCGCAAAAATTATATAGAAAATTGGGAAATGCACTCTAAGTTAAAAAAAACTTCAGTGTGGAGTCTAGAAAAATGTGTTACGAAGCTTCAAGCATTTTCTTGATTAAATTCTACAACTTCAAGGTCTGAATCGAAAGTATCAATAAATATTTAATACATTCTTATCTTCGTCAGAAGAGTACTAATCCTTTCCAGCCGGCTCCCAGAAGCGACATAGTTAAAACTCTTCTTTTGCATATATTTTCTTGTTCTGCCATAGAGATAAAAAAAAACTACTTCTTAAAATTGAACGGTGCTTCTATGTTGACTGGCTGTATGTTACCAATTGGCAACATCCGGCCGTAAAGGGTTAAGTTAGCTTTTCATTGAATTCTAGTGCTACTGTTACGTCTATAATGTTGTTCAACGATTAATAATATATTCGTGTAACAATTAATACTGTAATGTAAATAATAGGCCAAAAAAATGAAAGTTTTACTATTGGCACATGCATGATCAGTTTTAGTAAATAAAATAAATGTCTGTTCCAATGAAAGAGATACAATGTGAATTACTCGATCATGCAAATCTGCATGTGCTTTATTGAAAACGAGGATCTGTCAAATATAACACTAATTCAACAAGACGTTGGTTTGACTAATCATCTCTCGATGCTTCTCTACAGTTCATAAAAGTTTTATTGTTTCTGTTGTAGATTAATTCGATTTAGTGTTGATATTTATAGGTCTTCAATAAATAAATTAAAAATTTTTGACATTTCTCCTCTGTTTTCATCAGCACGACAATATGTCCCATATTGTTAGTAGTGAAATACTAATATGAACATAGCTAATAAAAGTATTACGTGTGCAATTTTCAAACATTTACATTCATTTTATATCATTGAGTGCACTATAATTATATTTTATATTAGAATTTTCTTTTAATTTTTTATTTAAAAATAATCTTACTATGACAGATAAAATGTCAACGATTTGTACTGAAAGAAAAGTCATGGGCAGACCTATTAAACTTCGTTCTTTTGTGAATATGCATGCAGTGGGAAACAGACACATGTCGGTGGCTCAGTAATGTTTTATTACGCTTCAGCTGTTTTGTTTGGTAAACGGCTGGTTTTCCCATGGAGGGAAAAGCGAGATAACAGAAGTGCGTACTTCACTTGTACGCCACGCGTAGTTCACCTGTACTTTACAGCAGCCCATTTCTACTGCGCCTGCACTGTGAAGTGTGAGAAACTTGTTTTTGGCCTCGCGGTGGTATGTTTACATATGTTAATAAAACGTTTTCAATGCCTATTTCTTCGTTGACACGAGATTGAATCCCAATCGAACATAGGAAATGTTAAGGAAAACCTTGAGTTCAATACAATATGCATCAACTAAGAAAGAAAACTGAAAAATCCCTGATGTCTATATTAATCTTTTGCTCATTAATAAAACTCGACGCTCATTTTTAACTTCAAGGCCAATTCCCATAAAACGCATACAGAAGAAATGTTTTTAATATATAAATTCTCTTAAGTCATATTTTTATAGCTGTTAAATTACTGTAAAACATAGTCTCCGACAGTTATGATTCCTTTGAATTTTCTGTTCCGAATCTTTTGATGAAAACATGCATCTTCTTATTATTAGTGAACCTTCGAATCGCTGATGAATAATTAAAATCAAAGTCATTTCACGAGTAGAAATAAAGCGGTGATAGTATTTGCTTGAATTTTGCGATTAATTCAATTCTTTTTGTTATTCGATTCTCAATCGTTCAATAAACCGACGATGAATATTTTATGTGTCCAAAAACGTTCGACGAAACACAACGATATCACATGCCTTTTATATTACAGAAACCGTTGACAAGAGAAAGAAAAAGAAAATAACCGATAGATATACATGCCTAAGTTCATTTCTTGCAAAATATCAAACTTGTTGCATACCGAACCAGAGATGGGCAAGTCAGCGTTTTTTCGACTCAAGTCAAGTCAAGTCAGACGTTTTTAAGTCAAGTCAATTAGAGTCATAATTCATTCAAAAAGTCATCAGGTGAAGTCATTTTTTGACTTGACTTGCCCATCTTTGATTTATTAGTTGTATTTTTCTTCTACATTTCAAATTAGAGTTTAAAAATTCAATTAATAAAAGTTCTCTATACATATAGTTTTTTAATTGACTTGAATTTCTCTGTACGACTTGTTGCAAGTCAAGTCAAGTCATGACCCATCACTGACTTGACTTGCCCATCTCTGTACTGAACACTTGAAATACAACCTTCACACTTGCATAGTAAATACTTGATAAGAAAGTGCAGAATGACGTACGTTGCTAGTTGTCATCAATAGGACTCGTTTTTTTAAGCTTTCAAGAACAAAATCAAAGTACAGCCGAAATGATATGTAGAGTCAACGAGTGTTAACATTCATGTGATGATTTTTTGCAAGATTTGATTTTAGCGAATTTCTTCGGCAACAAAAAATATCGCTCCGATGAAAAAGACCTTCAATGTTTCGTAATTTATGTAAAATTTATAGAACATGAGATCATTGACATTCGTAACCGAATTTCAAAAGTGAAGTGTCGTTATGAATCATTATTCTTGTAGATTTAAGATACAGAAAAAAAGCTGTCACTGCAGCATTTACTTTAGCACTTTATTTTTATTTGTCATATGTAGTAAAACAAAACTCACAAATATTCGTTGAAAGCAAACACGTTATAAATTCACTATTACACAAATTACAATCCAAACAAAAACGTTATAAAGAATCAGCAATGAATTGCACTATTTGTAACAAGGAGAGTAACAAGATTTATGACAATATCAATTTATGTGAACTTTGCTATCAAACCAATATAAAACAATTGAATTTATTCAATGCTAGTCTTACATATGAACCTCCAAACTATATCATCGACAACGTATATTTAGGATCGCAAAAGTCTGGCGTTGATGCAGACAAATTATTTGAACTCAATATCAAATATGTATTAATATTAGGAAAAGGAATGAGTAGAAATTTCGATCATATAAACTATAAATTAATCGAAATCGATGATTCATTAGAACAAAACATATCAAACTACATTAAAGAAGCATTGGATTTTATTGCTGAAAGCCATAATAATGATTCTAATATATTAGTTCATTGTGTTTCTGGCATTTCTAGAAGTGCTTCAATAGTAATAGCTTACATAATGGACAAATATAAAATAAATTATGATCGAGCTTTTGCTTATGTAAAAACAAAAAGAGCAAGTGTATGTCCAAATACAAATTTTATCGATCAATTAACCAATCTACAATAGATTTCCTTGATGTATACACTTCAATGTTGATTTTATTTTTAAGAATTGCTTGCTGACAGTTATAATTGATAACGGGCAAGACTATATCTGTTAGCGGTTTATTTATAAGTCGAATTATCATAATTTCATTAGCGAATGCTTTTCTCTAATAAAAATCAGAATTAATTTGTGCCACGAGTCTAGAATCAATTTGACATTATCTTTGCGTTTAATCGGCGTTGTCAGTACTCACGCCAGCGATTTTTCTGAAGAAAACTCACAAATCACCCAGGAAAATCTTCACTCAACATTGCAAAGCTTCGATGATGTATATTAAGAATTGTGAGCAGTTCAGAGTCATTAGATTAACAAAATTTTACAAAATGAAATGTAATTGATATGCATCAATCATATTCATTCGTATCCATACAGAACTGGAGATCATCAACTATTGCTATTTCTAATATAGCGAAAAAGACTATACATTTTTACTTGCTATTGTCAATATAACATGCATCATGTCTGGCTACTCTCGCAGATTACAGTTATTTTTCTTTTATCGATGGAATAGATAGTTGCTATCCTAGAAATTTCAACCATCGATCTCAGTGACGACAAGACATACGCAATTCGATCAAGTATTAAACATACTAATAATTAAATACTTTAATTCATACAATTCGATTGTCTCACAATAATATGTAAATTTTCAATAAACATTACACACAAAAAGAAAACAGCATTCCAAGAGCAATAATTAAGACAGAAAGAAAAGGGTGAACATTATCTCATTAGAAAAATAATATAAAAAAAAAAGAAAAGAAAGCGAGAACAAATATCTACATTCAATACAGAAAAAAGGCTAAAGCATATTCGTAATATTATTTATTTTCTTGTAAACATCACATTAAATTCGCGTATTATCAAAAGAAAATCTTCGACTATAAGTCACTGTGTTGACTAGGAATTGAGATCATATCAAATTATCAAATGAACTTAAATATTCAAGTGCTGAACGATAACAAAATTGATATTGATCCTTAAAAAACAAAATTCAGAAATTTAGATACGATGAAAAACGAGTTGTTTTGTTTACTTCTGTTTGAACAAGTGCTGGTCGTTGTGTACGTAATAACTTCACCGTTTGAAATACATCAATAACACCTTCGTATCGTACTCGTTCAAGTACAATACTTAATGTTAGAAATACGCCAGTTCTTCCAACACCTTTTAATAGGAAAAAAGTTGAATTCATATCATAGAAATTTTTCTAAAACATTTTTACCAGCTGAACAATGCACAACAATGGGTCCATCTTGACCAAAACCTTCTTTAGTTTTATGTACTTGTCCTATGACATCAATAAATCCTTCTCCGGCTTTAGGTACACCTTGTTCAGGCCATTCCGTATAAAGAAAATGTCGAATAGTTCGACATTGACCATCCTATGAAGAAAAATGAGAATTTAATTATCGAAAAAAAACATCATCAAATTATTTTTATTTACCCTTGAATCAGTTAATTTAAATTCACTTAATAAATATTGCGACATATGATATTCACCAAGTGGATCAATAATGAAATATCCGTAACGCACCGATCGATCTATTGGCCAATACTGTGCACATTTTTCTCTTCCCATTTCTTTTAATTTTGTCAGCATAACAATTATTGTTACATTATGTTCCCATATCATTCTCCAAAAATCTTCTATGGTTTCATCCAATGGTCCTTGTGTTGCTATATAACCATTTTTCAATCGATAGCCCTGAAATTTTTTATTAATAATCAATTGTAAATATATAGAAAATGAGAAAATTCAATTATTTTCCCTGAGAACAACTTCGGTTTATATACTTGAGCCATAGGAGATTTTCTAGAGGTAGCGACTAACGATAGAAGTTTCTTATCGATTAGTGGACGATCTAGTTTCTATCGAAGAATAAAAAAAAAAACAGTTCTCTTATATCATCGGTTTTCTAGTTATATGGCAATTAATTCTAAACCTGATCTAAAATTAATTTGGAAATACGTGACAAACACGTTGCAATTCTCTCTTTGATCGTGTGATCAATAGTTATATCATGTTTCATATTTTATTCTCATGAGAATTTCACTAGCGGCTTTCTATAGAGCTTGTGCATTCTGGATAGCTTCGACTTATTATTATTATTTGTTTCGAATATTCTTGTCGAAATGCTCAATCTTTTTTTTTCTAATTTAATAAGGAATCATATTTCCGGTACCTTTCTTTAGAAATCTAATTAAATAAACGCCTAGATATATGTTTAATATATGCTTTTGTAGAACGTCGCCAGTTGTATCCTACGGTGAAACCTACAGTCTTCTATTTTGTTTCTTTCGAAAGTTATTTCAAAAATCTACCGGCGGGTTTCTTTTAATCGAACCTGTAGTATAAATTACTGAAACTATTCTCTATTCATGAGTAAAATCAACACTCAGTCCTGCCGAACCGCCTATTTCAAACAAAGACAATCGGATGTCGACACATAGAGTTGCATATATTTCTATGAAACTTACGTCAATATAAGATGCATTAATGTAATCAGATCCATCAATGCCACGTATTGGAGATAAGCAAACGCGAGTATTTTCATCTAATAATAAGAAAAGATATTAAGCAAAAATATGTTTTTAAAACTCTTAAAGAGGAAGAATTCGATCTACATACATGGTAAAATATTTACGAGACGATTTTTAAATTTATTGGATGGATTATTTGCACTAATGAATTTCGATGGTTGCGCTTTAAAATTTGCTAAACGCTAAATGAATAAAAATAGAAACACAATTATTTCTACAATGTAAATTCATTCATTCGTGAGGTATTTACTTTAAATTCAAGTTCCATGTCTGTCAATGAACTATCATTGATGGGCTGTAAAAGTCGTTGCAAATGTGTGAATAGATTTCGAGCTGAAATTTCAGTTTGACCTGATTGTATTGCTTCATTCATAGCTTCATAAATAAATATATATTGTTCTTCAGTTTGAACAATATAATTTCTAGAAAGAAAACAATTATTAAAAATTAATTCGATTGAGTGATCGAATTTATTGGAAATAATTAGTTGAAAAATATTGTCGTTGAATCAAAATCGTGACTATTTTTGTTTTTCGGTTTTTATAAGGAAGAGACGTTAAGGGCGAGCTCAGCTATTCGTGAAACCTTTGATTCGTATGTTTCTCTCTCGCATGAATAAACATTTTAATCTTACCGTTGTGCCCGTAATAGAGTCACATAACCGTATATATCAAGTGTCTTTTCATATTTCAATCTTTCTATTAAAGCATCAATAACAATAAAACAACCAGTTCGGCCAACACCTGCTGAGCAATGCACAACTATAGGAGTAGCATCACATGGATGAAGACTTTTCACTCGTCGGACAAACATTAAAAATGATGTTGCATGTTCTAATATGCCATGATCTAAACATATACATAAATAATATTATCAATTGTATACTTGAAATAGAAGACTGACGAATACGGTGCAGTCTAATGATAAATTTAATATTCCTATACATTATCTAACGCGTCACATGTGTCCACATAGTCTGTATGCTATCATACGGATACTATCTCGAACAATATTTTTTGCTCGTCTTTAGAAACAGAATCTGTTTATCATGGGAATCATCGAATTTCAGTCCGGAAAAAAGAACTTGATTTAATGATCTTACCAGGCCATGCTGTAAATTGACAATGCCGAATTTCTCGTTTTTCCGGATGACCGGTCTAAAAAAATCATACAGTTGAATAGTTTTTACAGTCGATCCCGCAATCTTACCCATGCTATAGTAAATGTCCGTATACTATAAGAAGCTAATTCAATAAAATCTGTTAAAGTAACTTGAATAGATCCATAGGTTTCTGTGCCACGACTTGGCCAATATTGATCACATTTAAGACGATTTCGTTCTTCTAACTTTGTCATCATAACAATACAAGTCGAATTTGTTTCCCAAATCATTCGCCAGAAATCTGAAAATGTATTCGGCAATGGTCCTTGCGTTGCTATATAAGCATGTTGCTTTCTGTAACCATCTAAATAATTTGCATTTATGTAATCACTACCCATTACGCTATCAATGCGCCGTAAGATAACACGTGAATGATCGTAAGCAACAACATTAGCATAACGATTTTTTGTTTTATTACATTCAAGTTTGGAATTTTCCCATGAAAACTGTTCGCCTGGATCAATAGACTAAAATAAACGGTCAATCAAGATATTATTTTGAGAACGACGAGCCACTTCGTTTTTAAACTTCTAGTAGATGTGTATTGACCTGAGAGAACACATTTTAATTGATCTTTCTTATTTTTCTACTTCAGATCTCAGCGTATGCCTCGAAATTTGTTGATTTTCTATGACTTAAAAACAGCAAGATTTTCATTTCGATTGTCCTTCCAATGATAGCAATACGAAGTAGCACTGTTCATATCAATTGAAAATTATCAAATTCAAAAGGAGAAACATTTGCTGCCTGCTGTCGAAAACAAAATGTAGAATTGTTTGCGCAGAAGAAGGATTTAAAATCTCGAAAAATTAATGGCAAACTTTAAAATAATATTTCTTTGCGTATTTTCTAAGAAATTTTCTTACTTCATATTCTTGAGAAAATTTATAATTATCTGCAGCTTTCAAATGTTCAAGGTTAGCTGAAAATTCTTCAATTGGTATTGGTGGATAAGTTGTTATTTGTTGTACTCGTCGTATTTCAACGGGCTCACCGGATGACGCAGGTGAAATTGTTGGTGGTAAAATTGGCATTTGCATTTCCATCGTTAAAACTTTTGGTGTTAAATCGAATGGTACACTTTCTGGTGGTGGTGTTAATGATTTTCTTTTGTTTCGATTGAATTTCACCGAGAATAGAATAACAATAATAAGAATAACAAAAAGTAAAAACATTATTCCAAATATCCACAATAAACTATTAAAAGTTTCTCTATTCGATGCTTGAACTAGTTTCGATGCTATGTGTACTTGTACTGTTGAACTTGATGTTGTCAAATTTTCTTTTTTACGATTAAAACTCCACGAAACAATTTTTACTCTAATTGTGTTTATTAATGGCGAATTATTATAAACTCGGCCTGAAAATGGTGCCCAATCTCGTGTTTCCTTTCCATCACCTAATATAAACATTTCCGGCAATTCAGATTCATTAAATACAGCAGCTGTATAGCAACATTCACGATGACCCTATTTTCAGAAAATGTAAAACTAACATGAAAGCTTGCTTTTTTCCTCTAATTGCGACTTACTGCTTGTGGTGCATATGTTTGATACGATGGATGATCATTAAGTTGAACAACAACATAGTAACGATCAATAGGACCATTTTTAGTTGATGCACGATGTAAACGAAGATAAACTTGCTGATTATTTCCATTGATAACACTACGCCGATCTTGTTCCGGTCGATCGACATATGTTGGAACATCATAATCCGTTGAAAATTTTATTGTTGCTGGTCGACTATAAATTTTCGATGTTGCCTGTTCCGATGTTGTTATTGTTCCAGTTAAATTAAGTGTATAATGTGTATTTGGTACTAAACTGGTTACTAGCCATTCACGTTTACCTTGTGTAGGCGGAATTGTTATGAGACCAGCGGAATTATGATGAGATGTTGAACGTGCTGTACCTAAACTATCCACGTAATTTTGTATACCTTCATAATGAACCTAGAAAAGCGAATGAAATTTTTCCAAACATGATCGTTTCATTTTCGTGTGCATTAAAACAAACTTCAAGTTTTTGTATTTGCCGATGGGATTCATGATTAGTTTCATTGAAGAAAAATATTAATTTAAGGCCCGTCGATGTTAGATCTGTATACGTCATATTATATGGTCGACTTAATTGATTATCATAGTTGACAACCTGCTTTGCATCTAAATAAATGTCCTTATTAGTATTTGATTTTACTGAACAAGAGAAAGGTCACATGTGGTCATGTGCGTGTCATTGAATTTTGTGAAACTGTATTTTCAATGTTTCTTAGTTGCTATTATTATTTTATTCAATAATAAAATACAATTATCTGATAAGAGCAAAGTTCTTCTTTTTTTGTAAATTCAATAAACGAGCTTACTAATTGATCTACATACACTTTCTCATAGTATGTATTCAAGCGAAAATTCGTTGCAAGCACAGAACACATTCTTTCCATCGATTCAAATTGATGAGATCAAAGTTAGCCTGTAGGGATTGGTGTGAATGGGTAAATCAATTTTTGAAAACGGTATGCCACTGAATAACTATAACGAGTAGATCATAGACGATTATTTCAATTTGCAGATTTAGCAAACAAAATCGCTGTAAAAAAAAGAAGGTTATCTACATTATTATCTGAATCGATGGAGCTTAGTAAAAAGAATATCGGCCAATGTAGAGTCACTCAAGTTTTGTCGAAATGTTGTAGCGTGCAACTTCTATCAACTCGTTTGCATTCACTTTCCTAAACCATACAGTTATTTTACTAAGAAAGTCTCGCCTGTTCATTAATCTACTTGTTTTTTCCAAACAAAGAAATATGCAACAATGTTTTCCTTAATGATTGTTATTTTAGAATACTTTATTTTCTCGGATAAAAAGATCTGACTTGAGAACTCAAGTTACATATTGACTTTCCATGAAAAGAAATCTACACCGTAGCGTACTCAATAGAACTATAGGCATCAGACATTAACTGTATGGTTCATTTTTTTGTGTGTGGATAGTTCATAGCTTTGACATCGATGGCTCTAGCCTTTCAACAGCACTCAACTATTGCAATCAATATTTATTATTCTAATAAACATAGAGTTTACATCTAAACTTTGATTGTTGTCGTTGTGTGAATTGAAATCACAATCAGCTTAGAGATAGCAAGATTTTTCTTGTGTTTATTTAATGATAAATCTAATATTTTACTTACGACGATATATGTCAGCAACACGAATCTCCGATAGATCACCTTCACGTCTTGTTGTTCCCGATGAATGCAGTGGATCATTAATAATTGTATTAGAGAATTCTGCACTAACACGTACATTATACATTGCCGACGATTTTAACCCACTTATAATCGCTGAAGTTGCACCAAAATTCATTGGAGAATATAGAGACCATTGATTTTCAGCTTTATTTTCAGCTTTATCATTATAATGTACAATATATCGTTCAACAGGTGGATAGTAGATTGGTGACCAAAATACTTGAATTGTTGTTTCATTTGAACGAACAACATGAACATCACGTGGAGCTGGGTCTATATTGAAAAAAATTGTTTTTAAAAGATACATATTTATTTATTTATTCAATTATTTCTAATTTTACAGTTTGATGGATGGGGCGTTAGAAGATAGTATATACTGGAACGTAAAATATAATTATTAACCGGATGATAATTTGTCAAGATCAGTAACACAATATAGTAAAGTGTTATTTGATACATTGAAATCATGCTTAGTTTATGACATTCTCAAACAGAAATGGCACGTTAACAAGAATCAATTTAACATATGTTTAATGTCAAGAAAGAAATTTTCCTCTACTTTCTGTTTTGTTCTGTCTCTCTCTGTATGTTCATTCTGCTTTGTTTTAGATAGTGAATGTTGCAGAACAAAAAAAAACGCGAAGAATGGAAAAAGGAAAAAACGACGAGATATCCATTTCTGTCATTACATTTCTTTTTTCTGTCTTTTGAGAGTAGACATTGATACAATACTGTGCTTTTAGAAGAGAAACGACAACAATGTCATGGATGCTATACGAAGAAGCTTTAGTCGTGCACAGACGTTTGCCTGATTGGGATATCTAATATAATATTTTATTGAGCAAACAAATGCAGAAGTCTTTCAGCTTTTTTTCATTCAATGTCTATCAATGATCCCTTGTATTCTCCTTGCATCATAAGCGAGTAGTACCCACCAAATAGTGAGCCTAGCTTTCTTTTTCTTTTATAATCAACAGGATGTCGTTCTACTAACGTTAGAAAGATTTTCTAGCATAAAAAAAAAAGAAGAGACTTACTCAGCATGTTAATATACAATTGATATTCGATAGTAGAAGAGTTTTGACCATTACGATTGATACATCGAGCAGAAAAATGTACAGTTGTATTTGGATGAATACTGTATGGATCATTATCATTGATTTGTATGTCTAATTTTTTTATTGTATTATCCAACGATTGCATTTGAATCGTTCGATTTGTTTGATCAAGTTCAGTAATTGTTATGTAGACTTTATCGATATCATGTACATTAGATGGTAAATCCCATGTGACACTTAATGTATGAGCATTAACAATATAGGCTGTTAAATTACTTGGCGAAAAATGTCCTAAATAGAAAAAAATAATAAGACTCCAATTTAATCAAAATTTAGTTTACATGGATTTTGAATAGAGAAAATACGTTAGAGAAATCCAATGAAAATTTATTTTCCAAGATAGACACTTTTATATGCACCCGAATGTTTAGGTTAACTTTGATCTTGTTTCTTTTCAAGTTATAGTTATCTCATTGGCCATGAGGATATCGTCGATTGTATCACAAAACCAAAACTCAATTATCAATAAAATGTTCACCACATGGTCAATCATATCAAACGCTATTCGATACTGAATTTACAAACCACAACATATCAGCAGTTAGTACGCGAGTAAACGTAATAGTATAGATTACTCTAAAATTTGTTTTACATTGAATTTTATATTTCTTAGCAAAAAATTAGCAAAATTATTTATTATCTAAATTAAGTGTCGAGAAGTTAATAATTAAATTTTATGAGTTTCTTTTGCTTTGTTACCGCTTCTACTAGGAAAAGTCTTAGTCATTAATCTTACTAATCAATCGAAAGCTGCATACACACACACACACTGGTATTGTTTCAGAAGGTATTTCAATATGAATGTAGAAATAAATTATAACAGATTGTTCATCGGGGAAAAAACTTTGGATGAAAATTTTTAATCGAACCAAAAAAAAAACATCTCATCGGAAAATCCTAATTACAATAGTTTCTTTCATTTACATTAGAATTTTTTTTACAAAATAGATTCTTGTTATTAAAGTTGATATTTATCGTATGAAATAGTCGCGGTATTTGTTCTGAGTAAAATTCTATGACCTTGTATGGGACACTATTTTGATTAATATTAAAATCTGTTTTATCTATCTGACTGATAGCAAAATCTGTATACATAGCCGTATCACTTTGACATAATCATTCCTATTTTCTTCATCAACGCCTTGATCAATGCTATCATTGTCGTTTTCTTTCTTCTTTGATATGAATATCTTCGAATGTAATCACTAATGAAGCACTTTTGTTTTGATTAAAAAATCTTATCGAAATTTTACATTTCTCTATATGTTGTATCGGTTTGTTAAAAAAATACACTTTCTTTTTCTTATTAACTAATCTATATTGAGTATTCTCAAATGGATCTATAGAAAAAAAAGAAAATAAAAATTTGATTAAACTTCCAGACATGGGCTCATGAAAATTATTTTTCTAAGATATATGATTATACAGGAAATCAAAGTCTAAAACATTTGGTCTGAGAGGAGAAAATTTAATCATTGTACTGATCAATCAATTGCTCGAATGAGTCGTTTGTTTCGTTTTCTTTTTTTTATCAATCGTTGTACATCATCCGGTCAAGAGTGCCCTCGGCTACTTTATCCATTTAGTTTTGTTGTTTCTAATACTCTAATTCAAAAGATCAATTCTTTCTTTGCACATCCTTTTATCGATGCATTTCTATTTTCTTCGTCGGCTCTCTTCTTAATGTATACTACAAGATATTCTTTTTAGTGAAAAAAGATTCTGTAATACTTATAAACTATAGGCGAGGAAACGTTTCATAACATCTAACACAACATATGTAAAAGAACCTTGTTATGCTCATCAGCAGTATTCAAGTGTCGACAGTTGATAAGCATTCATGATCAACTACTACTCATACTGATGATATTTATTATTGTTGAAAGATCATATGCACTTAGTCAGTGAATACATTGAATCAGTTTTGATTTAGTCCTGTTAAATCTATTTAGAAATTTGATCAATAAAGACACGTTGTTTCTTTTCTGTTTCTATGCTAAGCAAAATTAGATTCAGTCACGTGGATGTCATGTATAGCATATAGAATGATGATCGTCAGTATGATCAAATCGACTAGTTGTTGTGCATGATTCTTATATAGATACGTTGGTAACTACTAATCGTGACCTATGAAACTTGTGCGTATGTGATGCAAGACAGATTGAAGAAAAAAACAACTTTTCCCAGCAGCAGTCCTACTAAATTAGATACAACATCCTGTTCATAGAAAACATATCCAGTTGTTCAACAAATTAATTATATAACGAATACGTATTCTTCCATTGAATAAACACCAGAAAAAGAAGGAAGTCTATCGATGCTATGTATCAACCTGAATTTTCGACTAAAGTCATTTATCTTCATAGAGGATGTACACGAGTCTTCTATTATGGAAATTTATACATAGACAACTATTGATATATATATAACTCATCAGTATGAGAAAGAAAAAAACTTGTCAATTACATAAGATGGTATATTATTGATTTCCCTATCAATTTAGTGTTGAGTATACGCACACCAGCGAAGTATCTAATTATGATCAATCATCTTTTCTCTTTTTCTGATTTTTAGTTCTACACGTTAAATAGTTTTTTTGTTTTTGTTTATCAACTTACGAGAATCTTCTTTTGGTACCGTGAATATATAGGCTTCACTTGGTTTTCCATCGCCCTTCTTTGTGAATGCTTTCACTTGTATGTGATACGTTGTGCCAGGTTTTAAATTACCTACAACATCCCAATATTGTGTATCAATTGTGCCGTGATAATTGTGATGAACAAGCGGTGGTTGAATTGAATCAGGTGAAATAACGATAACATAAAAACCTTTAATCATTCCACTGAGTAATGCTATATCATCACGATTATTCGAATCAAGTGAATAGATCCATGATATATTGGCTGCTGTTTGATTAATCATTTGCGCACTCACATTGATGGGTTGAACAAGTGGAACTAGAATTGAAAGTAAGATCAACAATGACCACATTTGGTTGCAAAATATTTGTGAAATGGTCAAAACTTCGCAATAAATGACTATTGCTTTTTCCCTTTTCCTTTCTTTCTGTCTGAACTTATTTCCCTTTTTCTGTCTCTGTCTCTCTCTCTCTCTCTCTCTGTTTCTTGCTCTTTCTCTTGTCTCTTCTCATAGTCAACAGACTGCAAGAACAGTTCATTCTATTTAACTCATCAGCATAAAAGCGCATCTCATTGATAAATTATTGTTTTCTAGCAATATTCAACGTCACCCTCGAAAAACATTTCAAACAAAAAAAATGTTTTTTCTTATATTGTAACTAAGCGTTCTAATTTTATCATGTTTATCAAACAGACGAGAACATAAAAAGAAATTGATTATATTTTTATCAATTATAGAATTGTAACTTATTTCGATGCATTCATCGAACGGAATCCTTTACTTTCTTTCGAATAATTATATTTATAGAAAACTAAGTAGATCAACGAGTATGACCATGTTAGATCGGCCGATAGTTTTTTCCGGTAACAGAAAAAAAACCAATCGATAGATCTCCTTTTTAAGTGCACATAAAATACACTATTTGGTCTTCATACTATTTAATGAGTAAGTGTAATATTTAAGACAATCAATCTTGGATATGTCATCTTTTGCGACAAATAAAGTCGTCTTATATTCAATTCAATCAGGCACAACTTTTTCTTGGGATTCTCTTCTTGCTTACTGTCCTATTCATAGTTTGATAAACCTTGCCGTTGCTAGACTCATTTGTCGGCAACATAATCAAACCTTCTAATATCTACAGTGATTCTCGTTTTTGTTTCGTCTTTTACATGCCGTAGCTTAGCTTCAATCGACTAGGTGTAATTGGAAAAAAGAAGTTAAATGATGATGATGATTATGACAACCAGAATATATTTATTCTGCTGGGAATTTCTTTTTTTACTTTAAAGAAATATTCTATGTTCACAGTAGGTCTCTTCGTCTACTATTCTCAATAGCTGGAATAGTCACGCACATAGAGAGTAAAATTATCTAACCAAACAACTTGTATTACTTTTTAATAGAATTGAGTACTTTCGTTTCATGTATGCTAGACATTGTCTTGATCACATAATCGTTTATTCTAGGAATTAATTTCATTTTCCCATTGGCTTGTTACTAATCAATAATTAAACAGAATTTTCAATGTTCAACTGATAACTTCTGATGCTTCAAAAACACTTAGTCAAGGCACCAATCGGAAGTACGCATCGGGAACTGAAATGATTTTAATCGATTTCATTGCGCCTTCTTTGTATAAAAAGAAGAGAGCTTCTACTAATCTTTACTTAAAAACTTTGTCTGAAAAAACGCTTGAATTATAACTCTATTTTTTTGTTCTCATACTACTACTACTACTACTGTCTCATTTCCATTTCGAATGACATCTTCTATCCCTATAGGATCTTAGCTTCGAAATACAATCATTATTTAAATCTCATGGTCATTTACAAGCTCGACACCTAAGGAAAATTTAACACAAGCGCAACGAGCATACAGTAACTATTCTCAAAAGAAAATCGAAAATAGTTTGTATTTTTCCAAAAACTAAAAACAACTTTTCTCTGGTTGTTGAACATTAGAAACACAGCTTCCTATTTCTATGTAGAAAGAATTCATGAAGAATGTCCAATCATACATTTATTTTAATTCAAACAAACTATCCTATCAATATGAACTTATGCCAGAATAAATTTATTTTAAAACAAAAAATTTGCATCAGTATGATTGTTTGTCTACAAATTATACATTCAAATCAATAAATGACAAAAAAACAAAACTTCTGTTTCGAACGCGATGAGCAGCCATCGGATATATAGAAACGCAAGGTAGAGGTACAAGATTTTCACTTTCGACCAAATTCAAGATAATCACATCTGAATGATATAATACACTCAGAATACAGTGCAAGCGAATATCAAGAAAGCGATCTTTTGAACGATGAAAATAATTCAACCAAAACCAGTTTGATTTTTCTCCACTGAAAAAAAGCTAACCATACAATATGCGCAGAAACTTCAAATCATAGCTTTGTCGTACGCAACTCAACTATTGAGTTTTTCGCTGCACGCACAATTTTCATATTCTATATGGTTTCCTTAGACATCGTTTCTGGAGTACTTCCTATCGAATAGAATGACTAGCTTCTTTTTTGTTTGTATAAAGAATTTCAACTGAATATTGCAATTTATTTGATCAATATTTGACGTATGTGCGCGTCTGCCAAATGATTAATGACATTTTCTTTTTTTCACATGCCAATCGATGTGATTGTCAAATAAAAAAAAAGTATGAATTCAAATGAAGACGATAATCAAAATGAATAATAAATGATTAAAACGACTTTTATTCATACCTATGATGGATTAAGTGCTCGGGCGAATGACAAAGTACTCTTCATATTTCATTTATGAAGTCATACATTCAATAGAACAAAAGAATACGCTATAGATACTATTCAGAAATAATGAGTTATGCTAATCAGTTGTCTTTTATGATTTTTTAAGGGTGTACAAAAAGAAAAATCTTCGTAGTTTTTATTTATCCACGATATTTAACAATTAATCAATCGACATTGATAAATGGGACAATTCCGAATATTATCACATAGAAATAATGAAAAAAATATTCTTTTCCCATTCAATAGTGTCAAATTTGAAACTTGAATTCAGTTGAAAATAGAAAATTTCAACTCATAGCGGTATATGTGCGCGTCACGATTCTTCAGAATGCTATTGATTTAAGAGTGGAAAATTTCAATGTTCAATTGAATTCAAGTTTGACATATATGTTCCCATTGTGACTTTATAATGACTAACAAGACTTAATTCTATTGATAATCAGTGAAAACCCTAGTGGTCAATAAACGGAAATGAATTCTAATTACAATAGTGTTAAATCTATTCATGTGAAATAAATTTGTATATTAATATTGATCTTATTTTTTTCTAGCGAAAAAGAAGGAAACATGTTGAAAGACTTGAATAGATGTCTTGCGCCTTAAATATCATTGCTAAAAATATAATCATACAAAATTTATGACGAATCAAATATTCTTAAACGGGACATTCCATTTTCTTTTGTTCTGTCACGCGCATCTTTTCTCATTTATATTTAGATTATCACTGAACGTTACCTGTTGCATCTGTTATGGCTTCAATACGTGTCGATGGTCCAGCTGAATCTGTATGCGAAGAATTCGTATACGCTTGTAAAATAATTTCATATCTCGTGATAGGACTAAGTTTATCTAAAACGATTTTTGTCTCATTTGTTTGCCGTACAATCCATGGTTGATTGGAATTTATTGAACGATATTTTATTGTATAACCATATATAGATGTTAAACGGTCGGGTTTCGACCATGACAAACGAATCGAATCTTTATCTGTTGATAATATTGCTATATTAGTTGGAATTTGTGCGAAATTATTTGGTAGAAAAATGAATATTGTATAGAAAACAATAAAATAAATCATGACAGATTTGTTAATTGTTTATATTAATTGAAAATAATCGCACATCTAGCGATCTAGTTGATCAAATAAACAACAAGTAGACAAATAGCCAAGCCGGACAGTTGTTCGATAGTGTGAAAGAAAACGATGAAGTTTTTTTTCTTCTTCTTCTCTTTCTGACATATATAGAATAGAATAAGTAAAGGAAATAGAGAGTGGAAAATGAATGAGAAACACGACCTCGATCATCATCGTCTGTTCACCCCCAAAAAGAGAAAGAAAACGAGAAATATTTTGTTTGAACATGATCGTATTGTTCTTCATTTATACTGTATAGATTGAGAATGGACGACGAAAAAAGACGAGAGAACGGAAAAAAAAACGACAGACATAAGAAACGGATCATGCCGACCGATGATGGTCACCTAATGACTGCAACATTATTCATTTCATGTTTTCTGACTGTCACTTATCTTCACACATTGTTGGATTAATTGTAGATTTGTCTAGTACCCAAAAGGAATTTTTTGTCTTCACAAACGATGAACAGTTGCATGTGACGTAAACAATAGATAGCCGTTCAGACAAAACTATTCTAATCAGACGATAATCACATATTGAATAGCTATATATATATATGTCTATTAAGTCGTCTAAAGCTTGTGCATTTCTAAACTAAATCGTACAACATATATAACGCACATACATACAAAAAACACGAACTGACTAACGTAGCTTTCTCGTTCATTGTCATTGTATCTCTTATTCTGTAATTGCCTAACCCTGCATCGTATTTATTACTCAAGTAATTTCTCTTATTCTTACAACCTTTACCTTTTACTATAATCAATACAAATAATTATCCGAATAGAATAAAAGAAGAACATTACTTGTTCTTTCTGTAAGATAAATCAAGAGATAATCCAACAAGAAACAGACTAGCCAATTGATTCTCTCTCTCTCTCTCTATATATATATATATATATATGCATATGCATACGTATTGATTACCACATGCAAAGATCAAACATGGGTATCCCATGTATCCATAGAGAATGATATGTGTGTATATATATATATATATATATATATATGCACTTATGAGCAACCGATAAGATGTATAGGAATCATCCTTGGTAGTCAATTTCTATCATAACATCAATCGATCACTACCTCTGATAGATAAAAGGAACGGAAAAATATTGTTTTTCTTACCAGATTGCCTTGTGAGTATACAATAGATAGGTGAAAGTGTCATTTGTAGCTGATTTTGATTTTCATCAATAATAGATAAATGTAAACGTAAAACATGATATCGATTGAAGTTTAGATTTAATACCGATGTATTAAATTCATATTTCACTATATTATATGTTGAATAATATTTGATGGTAAGTAAATCAATTGAAATGATTTTCATTCGAATAAAATCACCATTATTTTCTGTTAAATCAGAATAATATAGAAGATATTTATCAATGTATGAATGCGATCTATGATCAATAGACCATTGAAGATTTAATTGTTGATTTTGTTCATTAGAAAAACATTGAAATGTATCAATAGTTGATATGACTCGATTGTTTGATGAATTATAATTAATTTGATGAAAATCGCTGAGAATTAAACCTTTTGCATTGACACTGGCAACACGAGTGAACAGTTGAAAACTCGGCGAAATTGACATTGAAATCATATAGAATGGATATGTACGAACAATAATATTAGTCCATTGAGAAAATGGAATGGATGTATTGTTTGTATAGTAGAGAACGTAATACTAAAATAGTAGATAAACATTGAGTATATTATCCAAGCTGAGTGATTGTTCATAGTCAAGAATGTTGGGTTATTCAGTAGTAATCATAGATGAGATAGTGTTGGAAATGTGAAATCTGATAAAACTACTTTAATTGTACATATGATGAAAAAAATCTTATCAAAAGGTCATTGGGATTTATACCGAAAAGATATTGTTCATTGTAATAAGCGAAAGTAACTCGACAAAGAGAACGGACACAGTAGCCATTTTTTTCCTTTTTCTTTTTGACAGTCGTTTTAATTATAAAACTAGTAACAATTAGAATTTAGTTTTTGTCTTTGCGCTCCGAGCTACAGCTACATGCCAAAAGAGATCTTATTTCTCATTATTTGTTTTGTCTTACAAAATGAGGCCCATTTGTTGAATTTGGTGGTGTCCAATGAACTACAACTGATGTCTCATTCCAAACATAGCCATGAAGATTTTCAATTTTATCTGGTACAGTATCAAGTGTTGTAGTGAAAATCGGGTTTGAATAATCTGATGGTGTATGACCAATAAAACCTTGAAGTCGAAATTCATATTTAGTAAATGGAACCAGACCGACCACCTATTTCATCGGGGGGGAAAAAGAAAACCATTAAATTTACTGTTTTTCTTCACTTATTTTCTTACTTGAAATGTGAAATTATAATTTGTAGTACGTGGATCAAACAGGACTTGTTCGTAATCTTGAATATTAAAGATTTCATCTTTTTCATTTAAATTTGTATCGAAAGTCGACAAACGCCGATAGTAAATAATGAAATGATTAAAACGATCATAACGTTGATTCGATATATACCAATGAAGCAAAGCACTTCGGCTTTTTATATTGCTATAACTTAACGATGGCCTAATTTGAGTATCTAGAGAAAGAAATAAAAGAACTTTCTAGTTTAAAATAATTTTTTTCATATAAATTTAAACCTGATTGAATAATATAAATAAAAATCTTTGTCATACCATGCTTATTTTTTGCTTCGCACATATATTTTCCCACACCGTGCGTTATGTTATCAAGTTTGAGAATAGCAAATAATTGATGGCGTGCAAAACGCATTTGAATCAGAAACTGAGATACAGATGAATTTAAACTCAAAAGCAAGCGGCAGCAAAATATTTGATCAGTAAAATTGATTAAATGATCAGTACTTAAATTATCAGTCCTCTGTCCACAGAATAGAAGCCCGCTCCGGAATTGGTACTTTTTGAATTCCATGAATTCGGAATCTATAGACAATCCATGAGAGCCCATGGAAATCCAATTCAGCAAAGTTAAACTGTGAGTAGAGCCACTATAAGTTGTGTCCGATACGACTTGGCTGATGCGACCCCACGGTGCCTTACACAGTGCACATCTTCGCATGTGGGTGCTTTAGAACAGCTTATGGTTTAAGATCATATGGAATTCGGAGGGAACCAATTTTTGGAGTAGACTTTTATTCTGTGGGTACCTACTCTGCCAAGAGTTGAACATAACGGCGTTTTTATACTTTAAAAGCGCACGTTTTGGTGCGTTAAAACGATTTTTTCATGGTAGAAAACGCGTTTTAACACATTGAATTGTGCGCTTTTAATGCATTAAAATGTCGTTATTTTCAACGCTTGTCCTACTGGGTAGAGGACTGATAATTTAAGTACTGATGATGTAATCATTTTGCTGATCATTTTTATACTCTTTACTGATCATTTATCTTACTGAACATTTCATCTATTTTACTGATCATGTAAATCCATGCCCAAAAAAAACGGCAAGAATAAATTCTAAAAACCTCGAATCCAAATTAGGGGTGTTACTTTATCTTTATTGATCTTTATATTTATAAAATAAAGAAAAAAGAAAGATTTTCAGCAGTCACTGGTAAATAGATGAATAATTTGTATAACAACAGAAAACATTGATTGCAGTTCTTGCTTGTCATCACTGACATTGCAGTATGAAATAATACTAGAAAATGATGGTGAGGCATAAATCTTTTATGGAAAAAAATCTAGTGTTCAAAAGTTTTTAGCCTTGGACTTCTTAATTTTCTTCGAGCTATCGGGAGAAGACCAAATTTTGGGTTTTTAAGGAAAAATATTTTTCTTTATTCTTTATTTTATCGTTATTAAATAAAGATAAAGCTACTTTTTCTTTTTCTTTATTTTATAAAGATAAAGATTTCATTTATCTTTAAAAAGTAAAGTAAATATAAAGTAACACCCATAATCCAAATAACAATCGGACTGCGATAACCATCAGCATGACCAGCAAATTCTTTTATATTATCATGTTGAAGATCGAAATAACTTCCATTTACAAGATTAGTACGTATCCGTGGCAAAATCATGCGTTCTAAATACTGTCAAAAATTGTGAACATGCAAAAACAAAACACACGAATTCGTTCGTTTCAATTTATTTCAATTTTTACCAGTAACAATTAAGGAACGAATACTTGAAAATGATCGACCAATAACATTTGAAGCTACACAAACATAATCACCATCATCCGAAGAATCGACTGAACGTAAAGACAATGAACCTGCAAAAGTAAACATATATCTAAAGTTTGGAAGGCAATTTTTTTTTTCATGACATTCTACTGGTAGAAATAGTGAATGTCACAATAACCTAGAACACACTAAATTGCACTCGAATGTGCAGTCATTGGTTTACTCTCAAATCTTATCTTTCTTCTAAATTACTCAGTAGAAGAACAATACTATGGTCCTTTTTCAGGATAAACATTCTATGATGACTTTATGGCTCCGGAATCTGCAGATAGATCGAAAGGAATGAACTATTTATGACGCGATTTATGATCTCCTTCTTCGATTGAATGAATTTGTAGGGAATAGAAACCTAAAAAAAAGGCTTACTTGAATTTTTATTATCTTGAATAATTATTCGATTTCCATCATTTCGAATAAACCGTACTGTTTTTATGCCGTCAGATGTATTTTTTAAATGTATCCATAAAAATTCAATCGGATATTTAGTCTCTATTGATTTACATTCAACAGAAAATATTCCACCTATTTCTACTCGTTTACTAAATGATGTTAAGTCAGCTGCATCAAAAATAAATGGTACATTATAATACTTGGCTAATTTTCCTAATTCATTTTCATTATAAACTTTCATCGATGGATCATTTTCCCGAATGTCATTTGCAGGAAGTTTAACATCGATCCATCCAATAGATTTTATTTCATATGTTGAATTTAGATTTACTTGACATGTATATCTTCCAATAAACATATCAGGTTCTTTAATAATTAATAAACTTGTTGATGGTCCATAATAAAAATCAAAGCAATCGAAATTATGAAATAATTGTTTACAAGATGTATTTACATCATTGTTCGGCTCATGCAATGATTCATAATGCCAACGTATTCGCTTAGAATTAATTGAAGACGATGTTTGACAAAAATGGTAAATAAAAGAATTTGGTTTATAGATAATTGTTAAATTACGTAAATCATGATTAAATGATAAAGCTAATAGAGTTTCTAATTTAAAAGAAAAAGTTTTAGAGAAACACAGATTTTCTTTTTAATTACTTGGGATAAATGTCCAGCATAGAAAAATAAACCAACAGAAAAGCACAAGATTTTTGTTTTGTCGTTGCATCAATTACTTGTCGGCATTACTGTTTACTAAAACGTATAACGAAAATAGTGAACTTCATTTACTTGACATTTATCGGAGATAAGAATTCTAAGAAAGAAAAGTACATTCTCTAATGCAAATTCGATGAGCCTTTAGTTAACGCTCTATTTAAAAATACATCGTCTAACTCATGTGAATGCTGGATAGGGAAGAATATGCGATGAATGATCCTGAACTCTTTCTACATGAGTGAGAATAGATACAGATTGCTAATGATCATACTTTTATAAGTAATAGGAACTGTTGTCGTGCTTCTGCCAATATATACAAACAGATAAAATGAAAGAATAAATCGATAAATTGCGAAACAATTACATCCTATATAATTAAAGATGTCTATATGATAAATTTTTCATCTTTGAAATAGGAAAGAAGGAGAATGATGGTTTACATGATGTCGGCAACGATGAAGATGATTTATTTATACAGTTGATTGAATATTGACCAATGTCGATTGACTAGAAGACTGACCTTGTCAGATTGATAGACATCGTCGATGAGATATATATTCGATGTTTCCGTATAGGTCATTTGTTTCTGTGCAATGTCATTGAAATATAATATTACAAGAAACAACATAAAAAATGACTAATTAGTCAGTTGTTACTGTTCGATCAAATTTATTTCCCGAATGCATGTTAACCACATATGAGTATGCGCCTGATGTTATTTGTATATGTGAACATCTTCTCTTGTTTAACGAATCATTGAGCAACGAAGTGCTTATGTCATTTTGATTATTATATTTCCCTTTTTCTGTTCGATGGAGAAAAGAGAGAGAGGGAAAACGGATTTAATCAGTACTCTAGAATAGCCAAGTCAACAAGAAATCTTGTACTCAATAGAACACATGCATGACACTTTATCCTATTGTATTCTAGTCGTTCGCTGAGAATAGAATTCCTTATACATATGTTCTAGACTATGACTTGAATTTTGAAATGTGGATACTAAAACCATAAAGAGCGAAATGAAAAACTTACCTTAAATGTAAATTTTTGTATTATTGCCAAGCTAGTGTACTTATAGCATTGTGATTTCTGGTAAAATAAGTTTAACTGTGAAATAAATATCATTTGAATCGTTTCTCCTGAGAGCGAATGAAGAAATTTTAAGTATCATCATATGATACAATTGTATAGCTAATGCTTTCCGTTTTATGTCGAGGATAGCAAATAGACAACATGTTTATTTCTCAAATGGGCCATTGTTTGCTCACGTTTACATGGGTTGAAATTTTGACAAGTATGTACGAGATGGCTGTCTACAATATAAATGAACGATAGACTGTAATAGTATCTGCTGAGAGTCAATCTATCGTCTATATTCGCATAAAAATAGAAAAAAATTTTCTTTTCTCTTGTTTCATATCATTGCTGTGGTTCATATTGAATGCAAACATATACAATAATATAAATTGATGAATAGCTTCTATAAGGCTTCGGAAAATATACTCACGTAGGTTCAACAGTGCCTCTAAGCGAAACACATGAATTATTTATTGCTACAATAATTTCAGTGGTCACTTTAAAGGATGAATAATGCCATGCTTTCTTAGTTGGCATCAATATAACAAAAACGACGTAGTTTTGTTCGAATTCGATTTATTTATTCTATTCCATTCGTAAGAGAAAATGAAGAAAAAAGAAGAAGAAAGCACATTGGTAAATAAGAAAAATAGGCAGATACTATTCACTAATAACAGAAATGACTTTTCCTAATGATCATAATAATAATAAAAAACAGAAAGAAAACAGGTCATATCATGTATCTATCTGATTTCATTGCACAGAAAAATACAAATACATATCATCAACTAAGATGATGGGATCACAAACAGAGTAACTAAAGTATCTATAAAAAGAAAAGAAAAGACAAACCACTAGTTTACTAATGGTTCATTCGCTAATTTATGAATAAGTGTTCTTTGTTCTGCACAATATAAACTAGCTTTTAATAGTTGTTCATGTTCGTACCGTTTAACAATTATTTCGTATTCTTTTGAACTATTACCAGTTAAATAGGCATTAATACATTGTGCTAAAGCTCGAACACCATTTGATAATGAGTGAAGTGTTTTATACGGCGAACGAATTTGTAAATCACAAGGCCAACATTGTTCAAATGCTGTAGCTTTTTGATTAAGAATATAACGTGCTATATAAGTTGCACTAGCAGCAACAAGCGACGGTGATAAGTCAATACAAGAAATGTCGAGTAATGCCATATCAATAATAAATTTGCCAATAGCATGTTGTTCATCACTACCACTTGAAATGAATGAAAAACGGCGGAGGAATTGAAGACTAAAATTTGAATATATATATATATATATGTTGATTTTTATTTGAAAAGAAGAAAGACAACGTTTACCTTGTAGGCCGATTGAGTTCAAATCTTAATTCGTGAAGAATTGTCTTCTCCATTCTTTTGACTTGATCACTTGTATATGTATGATCAGTTACATAGACAAGTTCATCGACTGGCGGATGATGAGTTTCCTATTAAGATATTTATATCAAAAGAGGTTTAATTATTGAATCTAAGAGAATAGTTTAGTTGCATTAGTAGACTTAAAATTTTGGCTCGACAAAAGTGTTCAGCTATAGTTTATAGATTAATTGAAAATATGTTTATTAAAACGATTCGACTCATGTATTTATTTATTAAAACAAAAAACAAGAAAATCTTACTTCAACTTTTGCTGCAATTAGAAAAGTAGCGACAGCAATCAATTGTAAATTTTTCTGTGTTATAAATCCATTTGATGTGACACAGTGCTGAAGAAAACGATCAAGTAAACCAATACAACTAGAAGTGGAAAGATAATTTTCTTATTCAAAACTAAATCTAAAACCCATACAGATGCATTGAATCTTGTGTTAGTTGAAATCTGGCATAAAATAATTGTATAATCCATCCAACAACGACCATACGATGTTTAGCTGTAAGTTTCCATGATCTTATTGCACTACCATTTGATATTGTTGTTATTGCTAATGATGGATTGGTTAAAAATGACGATTGAATAGGATATTTTGCTTCTAATGTATATAATAAATTCATTATATCGACAATATAATCCATGGCATATAATGGATCAATGGGTTCATCGTCTTCATCGTTTAATGTTGAGTTTACATACGGCAATTCGATTTGTTCAATATGTAAATGTTCTGCCAGATATTGATTAAGTAACGAAATGGGTTTTTTGAGAGATTCAGATAAATAATTTTCTTTATTGTGAGATTCAACAAGATCCAGTTTTTTAACATTTTCAGTCAATGAAGCGACTATCTTTATAATAGAAAAACAAATTATTCTTGACGATAAATTCATTAAAGAAGAAAAAAGAACTTACAACTTGTTTTAATGTTTCTCCATCAGCTGTTGAATTGTCTAATGAAGAACTTGAAATAATTGCAGCTAGTTTATTGAATGCTTTTGGTCGTTTGAATAACGTATTATTTTTCGATATCGCTCCCATACGTTTTGTAAGACCCATTGTTCGTGGATCATTTTCAGATTTATTTTGTTGATGATTTTGAATTGATTTTAATTTATTAGTAATTGTTGTTGTTGAAGAAATTAATATTGAACTTCGTATTTTAGATTGACGTGCTAGCGAAGCTTTTGTCGGACGAGACATAGCAACTGTTGGACCTTTGACTGATGGACGCATGATGAAAATGAAATGAAAATTATCTTAAAGATACTTCGACGATTTTGAATGATTCAATCCGGCAGGCGCGAACAAAGAATATAGAATTCAAATGATCATTGATTTTCTTATTAAATGAATTTTTTTCTTCTATTTTCTTTTCATTATTTAAATTTTTCAATTAAAAGAAAAAAAAACTATCGAAATTTCCATAATGCATAAATGTTTTTGTAACTAGATGGAGGCAAAAAGCTTATAACAAGTCATATAGTTGAAGACCAATGAAAAGTATTTCTTACTATTCCAACACATCTATACAGCGACATTGATGTTATTCAGTCATTTACTTTTTTTTCAGTTTCGTATCAACAATCAATTACTGTGTTTTTTTTTTTTCTAGATCTCGCATTATTGACTGATCAACTATGCGAGCTAAGTGGCGTAAGAAACGTATGCGTCGTTTGAAACGTAAACGCCGACGTAAGTTCACAACAACAAAAAATAAATATTTATTACATTTCATTGTTATTGTTGTTTTTTTCTTTTAGGTATGCGTGAGCGTTCGAAATAAACTATTTCATCCAACGTGAAACAAAACAATGGCAACCAATCAGCGATATGATTTCAATTTCGTCGATGAACTCAGTTCTTTTTTGTGTTTGTTATATGTAATCTTGTTTCACAGATGAATGAAAAATACAAGAATAAAAAATACTCGAAAGGGAACAACTGTAAAGTTGACGATAACGATTCTATTCTATTTGAACTAATAGTGAAGAACTTTTTGTAACTTGAAAATCATGAGCAAATGTGAAAAATTGATAGCGATGAATTGTGGATTGTAGGGAGACATGTAAAAGGTTTGTATTGATAAGAACCAAATTAGCCGATTGTTGTTAATGAAGATCATGTTTGAAAATGTATTCTGAAATAAAAATCTTGAAGCCTTTTAAGGAGAAATCATCATTGAGATATGCATTAATTGTTTATTATTAGTTCTTTCTAATATTAAATATCGTAGATGATCAAATTGGACAATAAAGATTGATGTGAATTTATTGAATATAAAATTTGTGTTATTAGGTTATGTTTTCCTAAGATATTATGCAAATAGTGTTCTTCTTTAGGACTTCTTTTATTGTTTTGACAACGTAATGTTATAAGAGTTGATGTTCATATTCATACGAATGCATGTAGTGTCTGTATTATTTAATAAAAAGTAAAAAATGAGTTCTATAAGCGTTTTAGATGGGCATTCTATGTCTTTACGATTGAAATCATTATTGAGAAATTCGAACATTTATGCATCATGGATTTACTTTACCGGTTCCGAATGTAATAGCAATGTAATAATAGATAAAGAAGAATCATTCAATCGCCGAGCATTGTTTTCTTCATCTAATAAATTGTTGTTAGATTCGCATAGAAAAAAATCCATTCCATCCATCAAAGAGTTTTCATTTTCTCGTCTCGTGTCAATCTGTACGACAGTCCTATATTTGACACAGAAAAATACATCGGATTGAAACAAAGACTATATTCTAAAATGTCTTTTATTTGCAATTCATGTCCATCGTTTAGTATCTCCTCAGATAAAAACAAAATAAAACAATCATGTTTTCTTCATTTTATTTTTTACTTTTAACAAAACGAAAGGCAATTACATTTTCTTTTTCACAGATCCTAGGTTATCTTTATATACTTGAATGCCTGGATGATTTACAGGTGGTGAATTTTCTACTACTTTAAGCACTCATTAAAAATGTGAAAATGCCTTTGAATAGTGGCCCATTTTGAAATACACGAAGCCAATGTTGTTGTACGAAATAGTCAAATCAGGATGATTCAGAGGAAGAATTTTCTGCCCGATTTCCAGTGCTTTTTGAGAGTAGTCTTTGGAAAGTCACCTTGACCGTGCATTACTATGCCAAGATTATGGTAAATATGTGCTTTTTACTTGTTGGTCTTTGTTTGATTGAGTAGGGTATCGTAGACCTCTTGAGCTCCCTGAAACTGCCGTAGTTTAATGAGTAAGCTGTCCAAACGATCCCGTCCGTCGCCATGAGCATAGATATCTTAGCGCATGTGTTCAGTAAGTACATGGAGTTCTGGATCATTTTCACTGGTCAAAGTTAAGTTGATTTGGCAAAGACGCTTATTTTCATCAATTGGCTTAATTTATCCAATACAAAGGATAGAATTCATGGAAAAGAGAATTTCTTCTTTTTCATCGCCGAAATAACTGACATGACTGGTATTTGCGAAAAGAATAGTCGATGTTGATGAATTGATGGTAATTTGAAAGGGTATACCAATCAGATTTGGATCACATTGAGCATACACAGCAAAGAAAACTGACAATTCCTGATCAGGAGCTATCGAGAAGAAATTATTAAATGACATTGGACTGCCTTGGGCGTTAACCATTTATCGAAGTCTACCTGTAAGAGACCTTGACCACGATGAACTTCAAATGAATTCCTAAACTCATTTCTAGCAAACTGTTCAGTGTGTAGTTGAGCGATGTTTATTATGGAGATCCTTGATGAAAAACCCCATCCTAATAACGAGATCCGTATCTACCATTCGTAGTGATCGATTGGGCATCTAAGAAAGAAAATAGGGGGACGTATACCATCGTATTGAAGAGTGCTCATGATATTCCCATTCGAATTTGTCGATATCTTTTTGTTGATAGGATTCGTCAGCATATAACTAACGACAATAGCTTGTGAATTTATTAATGTGTTCTTGTTTGAAATCGATTGTTAATAAAAATTTCCTTCATTATTTGAGTGTACATAAATAACGAATCCAGTCGATCAAGGTTTTGCTTGTTGACTGCACTACCAATGCTGATAATTTCGATCAAAGTCTTGTTCCGTTTCTTTGGAGAGCTTCACAAATAGGTGCACTATCTGTGAAGATTCCTTTTAGTTTTGACCATGATGCGGCAAAATCTACATGCTGAACTTGGTTCTGACTGAGAATATAGATAGCATGTATTTGTGGAATTTCATGAACTATGGAGAGAGTTTCTTCCGCGAAGGCACGAGAAACAATCGTAAATATTTTCTGTGCTGGAATATCGGTCATGAAGTCGATGCATTGATTAACATCAGTGAATGTATGTATCTTGTGCACAACTGCTCTTTGTTTATTGATGGTATTAATAGAATCATTGTTGTGTACTTCATCAATATTGGCATCGAGCCATACTACTACGAAGTCCTAAACTGTATGACCAGAATCAGGATATCTAGGTTTAATGCTCTTATGATCGGAAGTTGTAGCAGCAGCATCGAGAGCAGTTCCTGATTTTGTTGTTTTTATTCTGTGTCCATGTTGTCCGTGGTTTATAGTCAATGAAAACAAAAACAATAAAATGACTCAAACTTATAAAGTAAATTGGAATTTTCTTCTTTATATTTATATCTATTTTTTGTAAACTTTTGGCGTTCTTTTTCTTTCCCTGGCATTTTGCTCCTTGAACTGTCCCACTGCTTGTTTAAAATAAACTGCCGTTCCAAATACAGCAGGAGAAAGAACGAACAAATAAAGAAGAACTATTGCAACCATAGGCGGCGAAGCGATTTCACTTTACGGCAGGCTCAAAGTTTTGACCAAACCATGTCTGCCTACGCAAGAGAATAGGGTTCAAATCAGATTAAAATCGGTTATAACCATAAGATTTTAATTAATTCGTTTTGTGATAAATGAAACGTTTTCACCTGATTTGCATCGGTATGCATCAGTTAGACAGAAATATTTTATGAAGTTTTAATCGAGTTTAGTCAATGTCAATCCCATAATTCGTTTCTCTGTGACGGTCTGTGATGGTCTGTGGAACCTCGCTGTCACGGTATGTGATGGTCTCTACCAACTCCATAGATAATGATACAGACCGTGACAGATAAGCTTCACAGATCATCATAGACCATGATCGAAAGACTCCATGTATGATTTCAGACAGTAGCAGAAAAACTGGAAAGACTCACAGACCATGGTAGACGGGTTCTAGCAAAAACGTTTCATCGTGTTTCACATTTTAATCCTACAGGGGTTGCGCTAAAAAGCTTTTTTTTTTTTTATACATGAATGGAAACGGGGGCAGCAGATTTTTTAAAGAAGCATCGCAGCGCATAAGCGGTAGAGTGGTTTTTTTACGTACTGCGGTGGCAGCGGTTGAAATTTAGGATTGTTTTACTACTTTTTCTGAAGACATCTAATATTCTTGAGGTCGTAATTCTATTGTAATTCATCTGAGATAGTGTATTTTCAAGCTGTAACTTGTTATGGTTATTTCACGGTCTAACAGAAACACAAGTGTTAACATCATGTGATTGTGTGATCAAGAGCAAACGTCGAAGAAAACGGCAGGGGAACTTGCTAACAGTGGTTCCAATTTGCGACAGATTCTTGAACGAAGCAAATAGCACGGCAATGAAGCTGATTGGTAATATGGGTGCTTCCATAGCTTCTTATGCATACGAAGCATGCATTTCTGACATGTTGGAAACAAATGACATAAGCGTATGTTCTCATTTGTAAACTATTTCATGCTATGTTATTTGTCCTGCGATGATTTCTTTTTCGAATAGTGGGGCCAAAGTACTGTTAGCGTGATTGTTTTCGGCGCCATTAGACAGGCTAAATTATCAACCACAGACCTGGTGACCCAAATGGGAGCAGCATTTCCAGCTATCGAACAAGCGGCTGCACGTGGCATAGCTAATGCCCAACAGTTCTTGACACAACCAAAAGTTTACCAATAACTATCCTCAAGCTATCGCGGTGACCGGAAACAGATGGCTGCGAGCAATGTTCACCAACGTTTCTTCAAGCACTTTCAATAATTAATCATTTTATTTTACATAAAATCTATTTCATGTACTCTCATAATTTTCTTCTCAAATAAATACACTAGAAATGGCAAGCTTTGCTTGAAAAAAGATCGGAAAGTATATAGAGTGTTACATATCCTCGTTTGTCAATGTGACCATGAAGTTGGCAGTTAGCTTTATGATAAAGGACACGCAAGTCCTTGAAAATTTCTGAATTAAATTCGCTACTTACTGACTATTAATGTCTTAATTATGCGACTATCCACGAATGTAGATATGACTCAGGGATTCGCTCTGGAAACTTTGGTTAGTCATTAATGCGCTCTAGCGATAGACTTTTGGGTAGCTAAGGATTCGGTTATTTTGCCGACTCTCTGGTGTAATTTAATGGTGAATATGAGCCGAGCAATCAAAACTACAAATTGGGAACCAATCTAGTTGTGACTTTGTTATTCGAACCGGAAAAAAGTGATGTGTTCAACTCGATAAAGTTATATGTGTTGCATACGTCGTACTCACGAAAAGGTAAGCTGTGTCAAAGGTTTTTTAAGTCAGGAACTACTCAACCAGAATGCACCATCTCCATTCTCGATGATTGTAATCTATGTTATTTTTTTAAAAGCAAAGATGCAACACAATATGTTGAGGATGATCGAGGCTTAAAAAATGTTATCGAAAACAGATGGAGACTACGCTGAGTCACATGAATCTATGAAAGGACTAAAATACGAAATGATTGATCCAATGAAAACTTTCAATCAACTATTTAGAGTTAAATATCTCAATGTGAATGAATTTCTATAACGCCATTGACAAGAAAATCGTTAAGAATTCAAAGGAATCATTGGAAGATAAATAGTAGATAGTTGTAATATGTAGTATCATCTGGATGCTGAAAAAATATCCGTATTTTCAATGATTTACACCACAGTAAAATTTTTCGTTGATTGTTGATTTTACTTGTATCGATTGTAAAGTAAACAATCGGACAAGATTGTTAGACAAACAATGGCAACCATCAAATACGCCGTTAGCGATCGAGTGATTAATATTTTATTATGTTGTTTATGCTCTTATACATTGCAGCATATTTATATAATTCATACTACTTTCAAAATAAAATGAGTTTATTGAGGGAAAAAAGTCGTTCATAGCAAATATATTGCAAACTTCCTCATTACAATCTTCATACCACTATCCACATTTATGATGCTTCACTCATTAATTATTCCTTATTTCATCGCTACTCCTTATATCGATGCAATTCTTGTAGGCGTCATTTATAATTCTTCATTGGCCGTATCCAATTTGAATGTAACAATGCAAAAATCATCATGTGAAAACTGCTTATGTATGATGCTCAATGAAACAAACAATAATTCGATTCAGTCATTAAATTGTTATACTAACAGTGGCAACAATGTCAGTTGTCAAATATTCACCACATATGTGTATGCTAGCTCATCGTTCTTTCAAATGATCTAAGATTCGAATAGTATATTCTATTTTCGACAATTACCATCCATCAATGAATCGACAACAGTAGCGGCAACGACTACATCAAGTAAGCATTCTTTACATATTGCAGAACAGTAGTTTTTCCATAATTCAAAAAAGTTGTTTTAAAAACGTTGAAGAGACTCGAATAAGAGCATGTAAACCGAGTTACCCCAAAGCACGCCATAAGGACAATTCTACGCACATATGAAGCACCTTCACTTCACACGATACCAATAGTCATGCGAAAGTGTTGACTACCCTGATTTGTAAATAAATATCTCTCTTTCAATTGATACTTATATACTGAATAAATCTCCTTTATCATGCAAATCCCATTTCATATTTACAGTTCTTTCTTTCACTAATGAAAACTTGATAGTGCTTATGAAAAAACAGTGTAAGAACGAAACTATCTCATGGACAAATAAGCATTTAAAGAAAAACATGTTTGTATTAAATGTACAAAAAAAGTTGCATATTATAAGAAACATATATTCTATAGGTCTGAAATCGCCACCAACGATGTTTAAAGTCTCACACTACAAAATATCACACATAAAGATTTAAATGGGATACATTCAGTAAAGCCCCGTTCTTTAAAAAGATCAGGAATTCTGTGTTGTGACTCATAATTATACGTATGTATGTCACACTTAAAAGAATCAGGTGTTATATCAAAAGAGGAACCAATCACTTAGAAACTGATAAAAACGGATTCCTTTTACGGGTCTTTTCTAGGCTGGTCGCTCACCGTTAATATGAATTCAGCACGGTACTCTCATACAGCATCATTACTTAGTAATGGATCAGTCTTAGTTGCTGGTGGCTTCAGCTCTAATATCATTACGGATAGTTCAGAATTGTACAATCCGCTCACACAAGCTTGGACAAGGTCGGGCAACATGAGTTTCAAGCGATACCAGCACACATCATCTATTTTGGCAAATGGAAGAATTTTAGTTGCTGGGGGATCCAATGGTTCAACAAACGCAATGAATAGTGCAGAACTGTACGATTCATTAACCGGATTTTGGATAATCACGGGTAATGTGAGTGTCGCTCGTCGTTTACACACAGCCACATTACTTAATAATGGGAAAGTCTTAATTGCTGGTGGAATCGGTATCTCGCAGTCCCGAACTATTTGTGTAGAACTTTACGATCCATCAACAGGAGTTTGGACAATCACGGGTAACATGACTGACGGCCGATACGCTCACACAGCATCACTACTTAATAATGGATCAGTCTTAGTTACTGGTGGGTCGTGCTCCAATACAAAGACTGTAGAAATGTATAATCCATTAACAGGACTTTGGACAATGGCTAGCAACATGAATTTCGGTCGATACCAACACACAGCATCTGTAGTGGCAAATGGAAAAGTTTTAGTTGCTGGTGGATACAATGCTGTTCCAGCCCCAATGAATAGCGCAGAACTGTACGATCCGTCCACAGGAGTTTGGGCAGTCACTGGTAATATGAGTTTCGCGCGAACCTATCACACTGAATCATTACTGAATAATGGAGCAGTCCTAGTTGCTGGTGACTCTACAAATACAGCAGAACTCTATGTATGATCATTGTAACATTGAAATGATACTCATGAGGGTGTGGGTGCGTGTAAGTGTCGGAACCAACGAAAATAAAAGTTCTGCTCGAATATTCTCCAATACATAGTAATCTCTTACGCTGGTTTACATTATTCACAGAGAATGCTTTTTCACAAATTAAAGTAGACACTTTGAAGTCTCCTCTATCACCAACACAAAAGCGAGCATAGTTGATCATACTGTGACGGAGATTTGCAGAGTTCTATTTTTGAATGATTTTCAGAATATCGCAATCTAATTTAGATGATTATTTTTATGAACTATTCCACGTTACAGCTGGACAAACGTTTCCGTCTATTGCTGGTATCAATGGGATATTTCCCCTGTTTATATCATAATTATTTTCTTGTTGCTGTTCTACTTCCGCTAGCCGCCGGTGTGAATATTATATATCATTTGTAGTACACTGACTAGAGCTCAGTAAAACTAAACATAGGAAATATAGTGAGAAATATGACCCTTGCTCCTGAAGACAAAATCTTACTTTTTTTTTACTCGAACTCGTATGCTAGAACTAAGTGTATCTCATATCCGTTTTTAAACAGCGTAATATGTAGTGCGACCCCGTGCCACAAAATGCAAATCTGAAAATATGTCTAATTAATGTTGATTGATATTGAACAACAATTTTCAGCTACAGTGAAACATACGAGAAAAAGCACTGAAAGAATGCTGGAATTTTGGAGTATCACTAACAATAACATCAAATGAACGATTTATTATTTTCAATATCGCTCAAAATGAAGTTAATACAGAGACTGTAAGTCAGTCAAGAAGCCCACTAGATATAGAAGTCATCAATGAAAGGTCTCTTTTATAGAAATACAGCCAATATAATTATTAGATCAAAACAAATGTCCAACTGCTGTTATTAACATCGGTGTGCCATAGAAAGACCGAAAGGAAAAATGTCGAAAGGGAAAAATATCGAAAGGGAAAAATGTCGAAAATTTGCATTAAGATGTTTTTATTCTTGAAATCATAATAGCATCATAGCATAAATCATAG